TCCAAGAAATATAACAAGAACAAGAAAGGAGACAAATAACATAATGGTTATTTTCATTTGTCCCTAAGGAAGTCTCAAAAACCATGTAAATGTTTTATGTTTTCATGAAAACACATGTTTTATATTGCCCATAAAAACACAACTTTAAAATAAACAAATTCAACTTGCTTGCATTAGAAAAGTTCGTTGTAATTAGGCTAGTTACATACCTTTTAACAATACCAGTGTCAAATTATGATAATGCTGCATGACCCATAACTCACACATCTGAAAAATGCTGCGTTTCCTAACAGAAATTAATAAAATCTTGTTCCTTTACTGGAAGTTGCGCGGCATGGTGGATGAACAACGTTGTGTGCTTGCCTCTAGAGAGTTCAGTGTAAAACAGCTCCAGATTTTGTTTGGTGAGCTCAGAGCTGGCTGAATAACTCCAGCCTTCCACAGCTCCAAATGCTGACATGCAGGGAGATGAGACTTTCCGATATTAAAAGCCTGCTATGTGATACTGAAGGAGATTAGTTTTTGAAATCCATTCATTGACACAAAGGCCAGTGCTGAATGGAGTTTATATTTATTGTCTATGAAACCCCTGAGTTAGCTGAAATCACTTTAAGCATGTACATGCATACATGTATTCTCTCACATTTAGCCAACTCCCCGTGATGCTGGTTTGTTTGAGCCAGGAACAGACAACTTTCAGGGACTTGGCTTGAAAAGATGCATGCATGTAACACCCTCTGTCACATTTTACAAGAGGCTACAATCAAGGAGTCTTTATACTCAGATTGTCTAGACACTGTGACAAAGTTGGAGAGGGCAAGTGAAAGAAAAAGCCCTTTTAGTCAGTCATTCACTTTGCATCGAATTCTCCTTCCCCGTGTGCTGCTCTTGCCAGCAAAGATAAAGGGAACAAAAACCAAACAAAAATCAAGAAACTGATAATTCACTCGTTTTCTATTCATATCATTCCTAGGAAAAAGAAAACCCCAAACCATTATTTTTCTGAAACTTCCAGTACATATCTATACCATATCCTGGTTTATTCTTTTTTTTTTTTTTTTTTTCAGAATTAATACTTTGAACTATTTTTTTTTTTGCATCTGACTTGTCATTTTAACTGTTTCTTCATCAATGTGTAAATGAAGTCTGTAGGGCTATCTTGGCAGCACTTGTAAATTGGTATGTGAAATCTTCCCAGATTTCAGTGGAGATTTTTTTCCCTTCTCAGCAGAACGTTTGTAAATGAACAAGAAGAAAGTCCCTTTCCTCGCACCCCTGTCCCAGATTTCATGTTTCCCATCTCTTTTTTTTCTTTCATTCTTTCATTTTCTTTTCTACTTTTCCCCGTGAAAACACATGGGAAAGAAATGAGAGGAGCAACAGAGCTGGGAGGGGAAAGGGAGGAGGTGATAGAGTTTCACAGGGAGGTAAGTTTGCAAGCCAACAGAAAGGCTGCAGAGATTCTTCTTTAAATAGCAAAGCCTGCGTATCACTTAACTGTTTTAAGGTGAATAAGCGTGCGTTCCGTCACTCGCGCCTTTTAACCAGCCGGTCCGAACGGCTCGCTCTCCCCGCTTGGGACGGTCGGCCCCTCTCTGCCCCTTCTCTCCAGCTGGGATTTCCCTCGAGGCCTCCCCGGTGCAGCGTCCGCTCGCTGCCCGTGGGTTTCTCTCGGTGCACGGGAGGCAGGCTTCCACAGAGGCGTCGCAGGGCCCAAGCGGGGGGTCCCAGGCTCGTCCCCCCCCGGCCCCCCGGGGCCTCCCGGGGCTCTGCCCGTGCCGATAGCAGCGCGGTGAGCGTCGCCCCACGGGGCCCTCGCCCTCCCTGCCGTCCCGCTTCACGCCTCAGCCTTGCTCCTCCGGCTTCTTGGCTCCGAGAGGAGCCGGGAAAACCTCACCTCTCGAGTGACATCTGCAAGGAGAAGGTGTCCAGAGCCAGACTGTCCTGCTGCCGAAATGGGTGGAAGCAGCGGAGAGATCTCCACAAGCAGTTTTTCACAGCTGACACGTGTCCTGGGTTCAGTGAGTGGTGGAGGTTTTTTGGTGGCAGGGGAGGGGGATACCGGGGCGGCCCCCTGTGAGAAGGAGATCCCCCCCAAGGTTGGAGGGTTATGAGTGGCTGGGGGTGTGGGATAGCATGGGTCACTAGCTTTCTCCAACTGGATTCCCTCCCACGCCGGAGCGCTCGGGAAGGGCTGCAGCCGTGGGAGGGAATCCAGTCGGAGGGAGTTAGTGACCCATGACGGAGCAGTGTGGGGAACGCTGCGGCCCGTGGGAGGGACTCATGTCGGAGAAAGTTTGTGGAGGACTGTCTCCTGTGAGAGGGGGACCACGATGGAGCAGGGGGAACAAGTTCCAGACACTCCCCCCACTGAAGATGAAGGAAGTGGCAGCTCTGCCTGCACCCCCCATTCCCTGCCCCTGCACCACTGGGGGAGGAGGTAGAGATATCGGGAGCAGAACTGAGCCCGGGAAGGAGGGAGGGGTGGGGGGAAGGTGTTCTCAAGGTGTGGCAATGCTTCTCACCGTCCTACTCTGTTATGTGTTGTTAGTGTCTGTAATAAGTGTATGTTCTTTTTTTTCTTCCCCTAACGAGTCTGCCTTTTGCTCGTGATCATAAAAGGGGGATTTTCCCCCATCCCAGTCCTATCTGGAACCCCAAGCCCGGCTCTCTGTCCCTTCTCATTGCCGGAGGGGAAGGGAGAGAGAGCTGCTGCGTTGTGGTTGGCTGCCAACCAGGCCCAAACCACGACAACACGAAGCTGGCTGGGGCACCTCCGCCCCCGCCGCGGTCCCTGTGGGCTCCCCTGGAGTCACTGCTGGTCCCTGGGGTGGGCAGCCTGCAGCCCCAGCACAGAGCCCCGCGCCTCCGGCACCAACCCCGCTACCGGGGCGAGCAGGGGCCGGGGCTGCAGGCAGCACGGTGGCCATGGCAGCAGCAGCAGCAGCAGCAGCAGCAGCGGCAGCAGCAGCAGCTGCAGTGTGTTTTGCAGCCCGGAGGCTGCAAAGCCCTTTCCCTCAGCCCCTTGTCACTTTAGTTTCCCACGGGATTCCAGCTCACGCCCACCCGTCGCAGCAAGCGCGGAGTCGGGAGTCCTTGCTGGTGCGAGGAGACTGAAGTGTTTCGGTGAAGGAACTCTGCTGGGTGGATGTGGTATCGCGAGGGAAATAAAGAAATACAGAAAGGGCACCTTTCAGTTAAGCTAAGAACAGATGGGAGACCTGCGCTAACTGCAGGCGATACAGCTGAGGGAAATACATTGAAATGGTGCTTGCTTTTCTGAACGGGCTTGTAGAATAACTGGAATTAACTTCAGATTGTAGAAAATACCCTTCAACAGAAGGGTTTTTTTTTTTTTAATTAGGCGGGTTAGATTTAGGAAGCAGGTATCCAGATTGTGGACTGTCACAGACAAGCAGGGAGCCGCTGCATAATTTTTCAGACGTTAGCGGAGGAACATGCTTTTTCTGAATCCCATCAGTTTGTCAAACCCAATTTCCTGTGTTGATGTTGGGGTAAGGCGTACAAAATAGCCCGCCTGCCAGCTCCAGAAAAATGAGGATATTTGAAAAAGAAGAGGCTTTTTATTTACCTTAAATGACGGATAGTGGCTGAAATGCCAAAAGAAATGTTGGGGGAGGGGGCGGAGGGGTGGACAAGAGGACAGGAAGGGACAGAACGGGTAGGAAGTGTGCTTTGCTATGCTTTTCTTTTTTTCTCTTCTCTGTATTTTCTCCCTGCCTATTTATATATTCTGGACAAAGTATGTCTACTATGTCTATTTTTTTTTAAGTTTTTCCTACAGTCACTACTCTTCTTGCAGCCCCAGTGTTTAGAGTATGTTGCTCATGTGCTGGGTTACACAGAAGAGTCACCATATACTGGTTGAGATCAAGGGTGCACCCAGATGAGTATCTGATTCCCTGGATTCATCACACCTGGCTTCAGAAACTCGGGTTTTGTGTCTAGATTCAGCTCAAGCCAATAGGAAAGAGTGCAGTAGCACCAGCACATGGATGATAAAATGTTAGAGCTCACAGATGAAAAGCAGCACCAGGTAACAGGACTAACCTTGCAGGGCTGCTTCTAAGATGTGGTGAATCAGACTCTGTCTCCTTCCACCTAGGGAGAGGTAGGCACCTAAAATTAAGAGACGTTAACCCATGTGCCCTGGTAGTGCCCCTTGAGGGTGCTGAGCAAGAGGCTACAAGAATTAAAAAACTTAGAGCAGCCTTTTCCGAGCTGTACCCTCTCAGTTTCCTCCTGTCCAGGATCTGGACTTTTTGACATGTTAATTCTTCCAGGACTTTCTCTAGTTTCTTAACTCACGTATACCTCTGGCAGCCCCACCTCTGCTACCAGCGTGTTTTACCCTTCAGTGCAATACTGCATAAAAGAGCGCTTCCTTTTTTTTTTAGTTCTGCCATCTGATAGCTCCCTCCTTTCCTGTGCCGTAATAACTATCGGCTTTGTGTCTGCTTTTCTGCCTGTCACGCAGAGCTCCAGCAGCGGATAAAGGTGGTGTTGCCTTTAGGTGAAGTCAGCTCTTGCGTGGCTGGCGAGGTCAGACGTGAACTGTGAGCTAAAAGTGCCTCGCTCTGTGTTTTGGAGTCAGACTTGAACACCTCCAGCTGCATTTTTTTGGCCGAGTCCTTTGCCTGCCGGTCGTGCTCTCCTGGTGAAGGGTGAGCGAGAGGGGCTCCGTCCTCTCGCTACCTCCGTGCAAGCCGTTGCCTGGCAGGGCCGGGCAGAGGGCTGCCGCTGCCCCTAGAGCCAGCAGGACCTCCTTCCCCAGGCCTCGGTGGGAAACCGCTGCCAGGAGGATTTTGCGTGAGATTTTTCCCCAGCGTGTTGCCGCTTATATTCAAACCACCGTGCGTTTCTTTCAAAGTACTTAACTTGTGAGCGGTGGATTTAATTTGATCCTCATCGTACGTGGGTTTGGGGGAGAGCTGGTGAGCATCAGCGTATGAACACCTGTCCTTTCCTTCCTCTCTTAGGATTTTAGATAATGGGCTGTGTGCAATGTAAGGATAAAGAAGCAACAAAACTGACTGACGAGAGGGATGGCAGTTTAACTCAAAGCTCAGGCTACCGCTATGGGACAGATCCCACGCCGCAGCACTATCCTAGCTTTGGTGTGACTTCAATCCCAAACTACAACAACTTCCATGCCACGGGAGGCCAAGGACTGACTGTGTTTGGCGGAGTCAATTCCTCCTCTCACACAGGGACGCTGCGTACAAGAGGAGGAACAGGTGGGTTTCAAAGTCTTCTTTCAGGGCGCTTAGGGAGTACCACGTAATTGCAGCAGAGGCACAACTGTCTCAGCATGCTGCCTTGGGGAAGAGTTATTTTATGAAATAGTGCGAAGAACTGAAGTAGCAGTGGAGCTGGGTCCTCAGCCCTACCTTTGCTAATTTGCAGGTGCCAGTTCACTTGTGGGGTGAGAAATTACGTGTACATGCCCAATTTGACTGACCGACTGCCTCGTCCCTCTGCCAGGGAACAGAAAGTGTGGTCTGAGCCACCTCAAGTAGTTAACAGAAAATACTTGGCGTGGCTGTGCCTAAAGTCTCTCTTTAAGCTCCCCTTCGCCCGCTTGGGATCCTACACTGTGTGTGGGTACCAAACCAAGAGGACCGATGACCGTACAGAGTGAAGGAGGCGGCGTGCCCACTGTTTGCATAAAAGCTGAGGGATTAGAATAGTCGTCCAAAAAGCAGGAGGCTTCAGCTTGTTTTTCTCCTCGGCGACCAGAGTAGCTTCCATGTGGTCTGGACACCTCACCTCTTGAGGCTCCTTCACCCCCTGTTTTTTGCGATGGAGTGCAACTCACCTGTCTTCCTCTTTAGGTGTAACTCTTTTTGTGGCGCTTTACGACTACGAAGCAAGAACAGAAGATGACTTGAGTTTTCACAAAGGAGAAAAATTTCAAATACTTAACAGCTCGTAAGTTTTAGGCTTGGGAATATGCTTTTTAATATTTTTAAACTTAAAATGTTGACAATTACATTTGTCTGCTTGTATTATTTCTAAAATCTAATGCTGGATATTCGAGATATGTAGGGGCTTTACTCTGTGCTTACTTACTCGTCTTTGCATTTAGTGCACTTTTGCAAAGTGCTTTATTATTGCAAAAAACCCTTCAACCACATGCAGCTTTACTTCAAAAAGAAGCGTTCCATATCGTGATTCACTGCTTACATTCCACAGTAAACTCACTTTTGGAACCGAGAGTACCAGCTCTGTACTTTACCAGTAGTCAGAGAAGCTCTGCAAGGCATGTACTAACACTTTTTGCAATCTGCTGCAAGCATCTCTACAGAGAAATGAGCTAAAAACTGATTCACAAAAGAGACGTTACCCAGACTTGCTTGCCAAGTTTAAAAGTCTATTTTTTTTTCTTTTAAAGGTAGGTGATATAGTCATAACATGTTAGGAAGTTCTGTTAAGTGAGAATGCACCACTGAACAGTTGCATTTGACATAAAAACCACACTCACGTCCTGGAAATCATCCATTTTAAATTAATTTTATTAACTGTCCGTGGAAAAAAATCCCTTAGCAGTTTAAAAATAACATCTAAAACTTACTGTGCTACTGACCTATATCTGAACATCTTGTAATTCTTGGCTAAGAACATGAAGTTGAAGGCTCTGTGTGATGTTCAGTTTTGCTATCACATAGAGGTAAAAATGGGTTCACAACCAAGTATGTCGCTTTCTAGAGGCTTTTTGATATTGCTCTCATCTTTTTTTCTTACACTTGCACAGTGAGGCAAATTCATCCCTGGTGCAACTCCTGTTAATTTTAATAGAACAACTCCAGGGTTGGAGTTGGCTCAATGTGCATTAAAGTTTAAAAAAAAAAAAAAAAAAAAATCAGGTAATTCTGTGGAATATTTCATGAAGCCATGAAGCTGAAGAGCTTTGATGTAGATGAAAGCACAGAAACTTCAGTTATGACTTGTAGAGGGAGCAGCAGTTTTAAAAACCTCTCTACTTCTGAATTAGCACTTAGAAAAAAACCCTTTTTTAACCTATCATCCATTTTCGTTCACGTTGCCTGCTGCTTTCCTAACCTTGCACAAACTATGCCATAACTTGAAGCAAGAAGAAATACCACGCATTATAAATTCCTTACACGTGCCAGCTGATGAAATCAGGGGGTGCTCACCAGGGCTTGCAGAGCAATCGTACTTGGAGTGGGTGGGACAGAGGGATTCCCCCACATGTGGGCTGTTGCAGTACATGCATTTGGATGCAGGTAATTACTGCCTGGAGGAAGGTTTTCTAAGAGGAAAAAAAAACCAAGCATCCACTGATTTTCTTGTAGGATTATAGAAGCTCAGTTCCCATCATAGTCAGCTCTGTCTGCTTATAAATATGGACTTAATCACACTCCTGGAGTACTGACAGCCAGGCTGGGAATCTCCAGAAAACAACTTCTCTGGGAGAATGCTTCCTCTCTTCACTTACATCAGAAATTATACGAAAGAAGCCCGCTTTTGTAAGACTCTGCCAATGCTGCTTGTGACCAGAAAGCATATATGTGCACAAAACTAGTTTGTCTGGAATTTTTGGAGAGATTTGGATTTTTTTTTTTTTTTTTTTTTTTTTTTTTTTTTAGCTCTCAAAAAATGAAATTTGGTTTGTGCTTTGGATTAAAAATTCAGGACAGCAATACCTGAAATGGCAGACAGAGGGTCTCCCTGTGCTTTAAAGTCAGAAATTATACCAAGGGTGGTCTGGGGGAGAGAGATGCCTACAGGGGTGGTTCAGGACAGAGCCTGACTTCAGGGCTCAAAACCACTCAGCCATGCCCTGTACCCCCATGGCACCCCTGCACGCCCTGGCTAGCCTCACTGACTTGCCTCCTCCTACCTCAGTTGGGTGTCTAAAATTCAGAGCTGTGGAAAAAGCCTGCATTCCCCCTCCTTTCTGGCAGTGCTTTGAGAGATCTAGGCTTCTGTGTCAAAGCAGAGGGGGTTGCTCCTGATGCGACCATCTACCAGGGCTGCTTTTTTCCTCCTTAGATATGATAAAATATCTCCATCTAGTGGACTCTCTGTACAGTAAGGAAAAGAAATGTAATGGTACAATTTATCAAGCACAGTAGGGCATAATCTCTCAGAAATACTCTACAGCAACATGTGGGGGAAGGGATAGCACTTCAGCTGGTAGAATTGGGGACGCAAGTAGATCGGGACATTTGCCTGACATACTAATGTACACAAGGTGTATTAAAATAGTGGCAGCTGCCAATCTCCAGAAAACCTACTTGTTTCTTCACTTTTTTGAACAGCAGAATTTGAAACATCTCCTTTTTGACTAATCACAGCTGTTTTCTAATTGTTTTACGTCGAGTTCAAACTCGTCAAACTGTTAAAGAAAGTGGAGTTGAAAATTTAAAGTAAGAGCTCACCTTGACTCAGCCTTTCCTGCCAGTAGTGGCTTAGTCAATATGTTTTCTGTGACTGCTTGTTTACAGAAGATGTTGAATTGTCTGGCCACATTCGATAATAGTGTTTTATTTAGTGAATGAATCTCTGTCTCACAGAGAGGAAGAGTGAGAAAGAGTTTCTAAGCAGCCCAGAAACAGAAAAGAGAATGCTTACCAGTAGTGGTGGGAGTTAAACATTGGTGAATCTGGTGCTCAGAATGAAAGACGAATTGCTAAATCCCAAATCATTGCATCCTGTAAAAAGCTAAAAAGTAAACTTCTCTTAAAGCTGTGCATTCTACAGCAACGTGCATCGTCTGAAGGGCAGTACCATGTCCTACAGTGTGCACCACTGTACGACAAAAATTGATGCTAAGCCTGTGGAACACTGCCGTCAGGTGGTCCTGCACAGACCTCTTCATATTTAAATGTTGTAGAAGAGTGGGGTTTTGTATTTGAACATGTAGTTAAGTTCTCTGCTACTTCAGATACCTCCTCTAGGTGGCCAGGAGGGGGAATCCAGACAGTGAGATGTGATTCTTAAAGGCCATCTAAAACTCCATGTTGATAGATGGCTTTCTGATGCCTTTGGGTTTCAGATTAATTATCCCCTCAGAAGTTTAAAATTAGCAGTGGGTGTGACAGTGTTCTGTTTGGCCATTTTTCCTATAAGCTCTCTCAAGGGTCTGTATTAGAATAACTGCTGTGGAGACCGTTTTCAATATTCTAGTCCAAATCCAGCACTCACCAAACCTGATTTCACTGGTTGTTATGTCTGTTTATGCCGTTATGCTACATTTGGAAGGCTACATTACTAATCGCTGCTGAAATAGCAATAGCTGTAACGAAATACGTATATTATTTGGGTTTAGATGCAAGCAGCTCTCAGAAGCAGGCCGGTGATACAGACCCGAGTTGCAGTGGCTTCTTACACCGTGCAGCTGCTGTTAGCAGAGGCAGATCTTTGTCTTTACAGCGGTATCTTGCTCTCACTTCTCCTCCTCACGTCTGTTTCTGCAGGGAAGGAGACTGGTGGGAGGCCCGGTCCTTGACAACTGGCGAAACTGGTTACATTCCCAGTAATTATGTGGCTCCAGTTGATTCCATCCAAGCAGAGGAGTATGTTTTCTTTTCATTGTAAAGACCCATTAGTGCTGCATTTGAAGGAGGTTGGAGGAGTTGGTTTTGATTGATTGCAGCGATTTTTCAAATGACTTACATTATTTTTATTTCGGTTCTTAACTGCACCGATAAATAATTAGGTAATTAGTAACAAAAGAAGCACAAGCTCAGTGCTTTTTCAATGTCAAAACAAAGGAAGAAAACCTAAAGGAACATAGGTCTGCTTCCTTTATTCAAGCGTCAACTAATTTTAAGCTTTAAGCAAAAGGTGCCCTTGCTTTTCCTGAACCGTCTTGTAAAAATATTTGGAGTCAACTAGTGTGGAGACTGTCTATTAAAGAGGGCACGTTGTACCAACAGATACCTACCAATAGGTAGGATGCCTACAACACCTACAGCAGGCAGCATAATGAAGACATATCTATGCGAAAAATGGAGTGCTTTATGTATCCATATTATTTCCAGTATAAAAGATATACTGGAGGAGGTTATATAGCTGAGCAGGTACTACTGTAGTCTGTATTTGGTTGATTGTGAAACCAGAAAGAAAACAAAAACAACCAACCAAAAAAAACCCAAAAAAAACCCAAACAAACAAACAAAAAAAAAACTTGCTGCATGAAGGAAAAAGGTACCAAAATTCTGAAAGCCTTATACAACCACAGTAAAGTGGTTGCATCTGGTCTTCCTACTGAGGATTTATAGCTGTGCTGCAACAAAAGCATTGAATACTAATACATCTCTATGTAAGTCAAATATGTCGTTATAGCAACACCTGTAAAATACTGCTCTTCATCAGCAACACATTTTTCTGCCCTTTTCCTTGAATATTCCTTCCCCCGGCCAAGTCTTGCTTTCTGTTAGTCCAAGTCTGGCCTTTCTCGTAAGACATCAAACAACAGTCCTCAGCATCTGCTGATTATAGGCCTAAAGCAAAGTGCTACTGCACAATGCATGCAACATCTACTACACTGTTTGTCACGTCAGCCTCCCACCACGATAAGAGACACGGTATCACAAGAATGGCTGAATATCCTTGGATAACCACAGTTTCCTCAAATAATCCTCCATGGCTGAGCTCTGTTAGACTACCTAGTAATCCTATCTAGCATTCGTCTTACTATTTCTGATATTTCCCTAAGGTGGTACTTTGGCAAACTTGGCCGAAAAGATGCCGAGAGGCAGCTGTTGTCATTTGGAAACCCCAGAGGTACCTTCCTGATCCGGGAGAGCGAAACTACCAAAGGTAGGCTGGCCAAAGCTATTCTGACTGCGGTTGGGAAGATATATGAGGAAAACTGTGCAGATTGTGAAATACTGTTTTCGGTGGTACGAAGATGGAGATAAGTGTCATCTTGCTTGTATGTGTGCTAGAGAATTAGATGTCTGGGCATCCCGGGTGGCAGAGTGGGAGTTCAGGGCAGAGAACAGCCCGAGCGCCACCCGTTCCAGGCTCAACCCATGGTGCCTGCAGCGCGGGTCACGCACCGGCGGGGTGCTCTGCTCTGCTCTGCTCTGCTCTGCTCTGCTCTGCTCTGCTGCCACCCTCTGAACATCCCACTGTCTCTCTCAAGGCGTGTGTTGAGGGTGCTGCAACTGCAGTGGGGCCGGGAGGAGAGCGGCCCCTCGGGACAACAGCTACGGGGCTACAGGAGGCAGACCTCCTGGTGTCCCTGTCCAGGCACAGCCAGCTACCTGAGTGTGCACAGAATCTCCAGTCTAGTTTGGTGAAAATTGCTGCTGCCTTCTGAACAAGCAGATTATTTTAATCTCCTCACCTGGAAGATGTAAGATAAGATTTTGAGGGGGGGGGAGGTAGTGGTTACTATTTTAGGGAACTTTTTTGGCCTTTCCCCTTTGAAATGCTGGATCCCTGGGGTGTGTGGGGGAAATGTAGCAGTTTTAAATTAATAGATTAACAGTGAAAAGACTTGAAAAACATTTCTAATTGATATATTCATACAGTATTCAACTGTATCCATTCTGCTGAAGTCAAGTGGAAGGATGTATTCTCCTCCTTCCCTCTAAAAATATCGGAGGAGTTCTGGTTTTCTTGGTGGGTGCTCTTTGTTTTTACATTTTGTTCGTGAGCCCTGTCAACATCGTCTTCAAAGCTTTGCACGTATGAAAAGATCTCTCTAACTCATACAGCTATCGAGGAGAAAACGTGCAACTAAGTGAAAGCAAACCTGGCCATTTCTCAGTTAACCGGCAATCCAAAACAATAGCTGTGGGGAGCGTAAGTCACTAGCATTAATTCCATGTAAGTTCTGAAGTCTAATGATGGTCCATGTAATTAAATCACTGACTTGTCAGCACTTTGATCAGAGCACACTGTCAGCTGGAGTTAGCACGTACAGTGGTTAGAACCGTGGCTGGCAAAGGGATTTAGAGAAGAGAAGCACCACTCCCCACTCCCCTCCACCTGACCTATCTTCAGATGTTGCTTTCTGACATCTGGAATTGTAAGGTTTACATTTGGGACTCCTGCAGTCACTGGATTCTTCCTTTGCTGCCCATATCTCTGAAGACGGTTTTCCGAGGCAAAATCTGAGCAGATGCGCTGTTTCAGACCGCTAATTTCCCGCCTGGTCACCCCCCAGCCTCACCATACCTTACGTGGCACTGAGGCATTCTCACCAGGAGCACGGCAGGCTCTGACTTGCTCTTTTTTTCTGCAAATAGCCTCCACCTGTTCGTTTTCACCAACAGTTGTTGTGATGTGTGTGAGGAGCAGGACTTCATTCCATTCTGTGCCGAGTTTAAAAAAATCACTCCTATAGGCACCCGTAGATCCTAAAAACAAGCACAACACCATTTCTCCAAATCAGTGTAGTCTGTTTTGACCATTTTTTATACAGTGATAGGGCATATGTTTTGCAGAGCTGTTTACTTAGCTAAGTCAAGGCTTTTTTTTAGAGCTTCTTTTGAGACACAAAAGCATTGGGGAAATGAAGCAATCCATCATGGATGGACTTACAGGAGCAAGCTTAATTTCTCTGCATTTGAACTTAAGGCTTTCTACATCTTCAGGCTAAGTTTGCATCAAAGCCATTAGAGAAAACCAAACATGCTTGGTTTTTGTCAAAAATGCCTATTTCCCTTCTCATCCTTGTGGTGTTTCAGTATGTTGTTAGAGGAAAACAGAGGGAGCTTGTTCGTGAGAGAGAAAAAAGTCATCTGGGAGGGCTCGAATGGTGCCTTTTCCCGTAAGTCTTCTCAAAACACCTTACTCCAACTAGCCATGTTGGGCTTGAGGCAGGAATTGTTTTGTGACCTAGAATTGTCCCTTCTGCTTTAAATAATAACAATAATAAAATTAATCAGGATCATGTTAAAAGTATCATCATGGATGACTTCAGCATGAATTTAACCTCCCTTGATCATGGTTGCCTTCTCTCCTTACTTCCAAAATAAATCATATGGAGCTGGCTTTTCATTTTTTCAATGCCTGACTACCCAGGTACTTCATCAGCTCTTGTCTATATAATCCTTCACCTGGTTTCAATCTCCACCCTCCAAGACTGTCTGGTTTTAGGTTTGTTTTTTTAAAAAATTCATTAGTATGATATATTGTAATGTTGTATTTCTATCCAAATTTTTATTATGTATATCTCTTATATTTTAAATTATCATCAGATAATAACGAATAGTATAAATAACCAACAGCCTAAATAAATGAATAATGAAATCCATCTTGGCTCTTGTTTTTGTCCAGATTTGAACTAAAGCTCCAGTCCTGCAACTTGATCTGAGGTCAGCGGGGGTCCACAGAGGGCCACCCACGCAGCTCTGATTGCAGACCCGGAGCCACAGATTGTTTACATTTTCCTAAAGGCTCTAAAATAGTGACCAGATAGGCAGGGAGCGTGACTAAAGAAAATACAGCTGCTGCCAGTGGATCAAAACTCACAAATGGGGAGGTGGAGAACACTGCCTGGAAAATTCTGAGAGTAGGCTGACCGTGTACAGCCCGGAGTGGTGGTACCAAGCGTGCACGAGATGCGCTCGCGAATCCCCAAAAAGCTTTGAGCTCCTAGCTGAGAGGGATGTACGTACTCAGTGGGAGACCCTCCTCAGAAAAACGCCCTAAACAAACAGCGTTTTTCTACTCTTAGAAATAAAAACCTTGTCACTCCTCTCAGGGTGTCTCCCATTCACATAAACCAGAATCACCTGTGTAAGTGCTGGCTCGTTTCCTCCAAGTTGGAGGACGAACAACAGGGAATTTGAGAAGTCCTTGGAGTCAGGGCGGAGATGTTTTGTTCACTGCAGCTCCCTCAGCCGTGAGCCACCCGCCAGTGAGACCTGTTGCAGGGTAACGTGGTGGGGGAAACTTCTCCCTGGGGAGACGTCTGGGAGAGACATCTTACACCGGGAATCTCAACCGCGGGAGTTCATTCAGCCATTTCACTTAGCTGGGGGTGGTTCTGGAGGATGGGAACCTGCCAGGGTGTGTTGAAAAGTACCCTGACTTGGGATGAGCAGCAGTTGGTGCTGTTTGCTGTAGGAAATCGCTCCACCTTTCACGTTGTCTGGAACTGTCTGCTGGCAGTTTTCCTTTCCCGCCCTCAGCTGATGTGGTTACCCGTGAAAGCAGCCAGGCTCCAGAAGGAAGGACCTTTCTGAGGTCTCGGCAGCTGCCCGCTGCCTCCAGGTTTTTTTCCTTCTAACGCCTGAATCACTTGTAAGCGAACGCGATATTCGCCTGAGCCGTGAGCGAAGCCTCGTCGCCTCCGGTGCCTTTTGAAATGCCCGTGCTTCTGCTCAGCAGCTGCACCGTGCCGAGGAACGCGGCTTTGCTTTAGTGGGGAGCCAACGCGTGGTTCTCGCTGTACGTGCTGCGGGCTGAGGGACCTGAACGCGCAGGTCCCCGTGCGGGTGGCCAGGCTCCCTTTACGGTCAGCAGGGAGCTGGGGCTCAGTTGAGCTGCCCGTGACTGCAGACACCTGGTGCTACCACCTGCACGCCGCTGCCGATAGCTACTGGTGGGTGGTTTCTAACACTGATGGGCACTGGGCCGGGATTCCGCTGCCCTGGTAGCGCCAGAAGCTCATGCGTGGGCATCTACCTCGAGCCTGTAGCCCACCTGCGTTCAGCCACTGCTGCACTGGGAACTGAACCCAGCCCCGCAACCGGAGGCTCCTCTGCCTGGGCCGTGAGCTCCCCGAGCCGGTTGAAATGCCTGCAGGGCCCCCACGGGGACCAGGAGAGCGTGACAACCGGTGGGAAAGCGGCCAAGCTGGATGTCCCGGGACGTCTCACCGCGGCACTCGGGCCCCGGTGTTTGGGCGTCTGAATCCCACCAGTAAGCTGTAAAGCTCCAGCATGGGCTTGGAAAGTGAAACACGCGGTTCTTGCGGATCTCTCGGTGCGGTCTTGGTGTAGTACCACCTTCCAAAACCTGTGATACACAAAATATGCTGAGATCTGGTGGTTTAGTGTTTTTAACGAAGTTTGGGATCCATCTGGGTAACAGCACTGCGCATCTATAAAGTCATTATCTCCAGTGATTCCTACGAAAATCTTGATATTTACTTCCCGCTGGCATTTATCTGAAGTATAGTATTTGCAGTGTAACCTGACACTTAGAATAGGAAAAGTCAATTTAACAACCTGAAACAGTAAATGTTAAAATGTGAGTTTTCATTTAGAGAGAAGTCCCGATTTCTTTCTAGACTAGTTTGAGAGGGACATGGTGTGAACATCGTAAGATTTCTGTGGCACTTACTTTGTTGTGTTAGATTCATTTGTTCTTTTTCAAGGTACAGTAAGCATTTCTTTGGAAGCAGTTTCCCTTTCACTTTATAAGAACTGACCAGCAAACCAAAATCTTTGTGTCTAAAAGCGACTTACAGTTTTTTATTTCTCCTTTGCTTGGAACAGGTGCCTATTCCCTGTCTATTCGTGACTGGGATGATATGAAAGGAGATCATGTCAAACATTATAAGATTCGTAAACTTGACAATGGTGGATATTATATCACAACTCGGGCACAGTTTGAAACTCTTCAGCAGCTGGTTCAGCATTATTCAGGTAATTTTTCAGATAATACACAGCACTCTGAAGTATTTTAAAACAAAAGTGTTTGCTGCTGAGCTGATATATGTGTAAGACGCCCTAAAGAGTCATTTGAGCTATGACTCTTGCTTGTTGTAATGCTTCTTCCATTATCCCTTTCCCATTACAGTTATAAATGGCTTTGAGTGCAGCTCGCAGTGTACAGTGTCAGAGCTTTTAAAAGCTAGCACTCCACTGAGCTAAAGGTTTTGCCTGCTCTCCCTCCGCTAAGCAAACAGAATTACTGAATTTGACTTGCAGATCTCAAACTGTGTATTCCCTGTGCATAAGCGAGCGCTAGTATGTACTGTTTTGCAGCACACGATTGCTAATAAAGCAAACAGGGAATTGCATTGTGGAATTCAGTCACCTAAAGCAATGACCAAAAGGTTTGCATATATTACCTGACTCAAATTTTCCCACTGGATTTGTATTCAGTGTGCAAAGTATTAATATTTAAATTATAACCGGTCTAATTTAAAAAATAAATATGGCAAGGTGTGTGTTTCTTTATGCACACTGTTTGTGTCCACCTTTTGGGGGGGTGGGGGGGTGTTAATATTTCTGTGATTAAATGTGGCATGTACTATTCAACCCAAAAGCACATCCCGTTGTCACTGGCGATTGGTGTGCAACAACTTCAGAGGCCCCCAAGCCTCTGCATAGGACAAACAGTTCTTATGTAGAAGACTACTTCTCCACACAGTCAATTTTAAGCAGCAATTTGTATTTCGCTTTTTATTTTTCCCTTACTTCAGCTTTTCGTGATATTAACAGATGACCCCAAATGCTCACTGCTCAAAAACTTTCCATAATTTTTACTTGGGAAATCAACTTCTCTGTGGGGTGTTTTTTTCTGTATTCTTTGTATTCTGTCTGCTGTATTCTTACGCTATTCATTCTGGACATCTGGCTGTCTTCTCCGCCCAATTCCTGATGGTTGTATGCTGCCTGGGAGAATTTCTAGTTTTTTTTTTCTGGAGGCTCTACACTGAACTAAGCTAAATAGTGTGTAAAAGCTCACATCTAAGGAAGATAATTTTCAGCCCGGCTGGTATATGTCAACTTTTAGTTTTCTTTGGTCAAATTATTCGGGTGGTCTCTTTTCCATGCACGGATGCAGAATGGAAGAGACGGGGAAGGAGCCGTTTCTGAGCAGCGCGGGGGCATAGCCAGTGCCACCCGGGCAGGGTGGCTCCGCAGGGCATGGTCCGGACCCACACGCCCCAGGCTGCACCGGTGGTCTCCCAGGCTCGGGCGGGCACAGGAGCCCTCGTCCTCTGCCAGCCCCAGCCGGCTGGAAGCACGAGGGCTGCCCCGGGGCCCCTGCCCGGCCACCTAGGCTCACTCCTGGGGGGAGCTCAGAGGTGCCCAGGCGACTCCACAAAGATGAGCACGGTCCCTAAGGAGCCACCCCCGAGGCTGTGGGTCGGTGCCCGCGGAGCGGGACAGGTACGGCCCCCCGCCCACCCCACGGCTGCCCAGGCTGGAGGAGCCCTCCCGCCCGGGTGGGCAGCGGGGGCTCCGCGAGCAGTCCCAGGGCAGGAGCTGCAAGCACCACGCGTGTGCCTTCCCAGGCCTCCCTCTTATCCCAGCCCCTTCCTGCCTGGATAAGGAAGCTAACGGCGGTCTCTGGGCTTTCGCAGATGGGTTTTGCAAATGAAAAATACTGAGATTTCCAGGGCGTCCTGATGTCAGAGTCCAGTGACAGCACGTCTGAAGTGGAAGCACCCTAACAGCCAGCCTCTCGAGCGTAAGCTCCCGTGCGTGCAGCCGAGGCTTAACTGGAGCACCAACATGCCAAGCCTTTTTTGGTTTTTTTTTTTTTTTTTTTTCAGTTAAAGAAAACAAGGAGGTCTTAATAACCTCTAGTTTCTTTCTGCAGCTGTCCAAACTCTTAAGGAAGCTTTCCAGATAGAACCCATATGTGGAATAGCCCCTGTCCTAATGTTCCCATTAGAATTATCTTGGAATAAGACATGCCAACTGGTCGGCTAATCTTCACTGGTTTGTGGTTTTTGTTGCCTTGCTACAGGAGACACAATGAGGTCCATATCAGAGTGGCTGTAGGGACTTCCCCACCCTCCCACGACATTTGTGCTGAGGAGGTAGAGCTTGGTGTTGCAGGGGGCTTCAGTGCTTACCCACCTCGTGATGCTGAAGCAAACTGTTCACCTGCCCAGAAAAAAAATCCTGCACAGGAGAATAAAGATTATGTTTGAGTCTGAAATACAACTGCAGTTCCCCACCTTGTTTGGCTCCGCGGCACCTGTTTCAAGATACAAGTCACTGTGCAAGCTTTAGATTGTAGTCTGCTCTGTGCGATATAGTATACTACACAACAATGTGTGTGTATCTATATATATTAATGGGCTTACTCCTACTAAAATATCTTACGAGTTTTGTCACAGTTCAGCCTTCTGTGAAGCTTTGCGGGAGACAAGTATAATGAATCTGCCCCGAACGATGTAGGGCTGGCTGCATATGCTAATAAAGATTTGCACTGTAAAGAATGGCAGAAGAAGGCTTTTACAGGACACCTACAAAAACACCCTTCCGCAGAGTAGAGTATAGAAAACACCTTCTCCCAGGATACCTAGAAAAAAATCAGCCAAGAAGTCCGCCAAAATTTCATTGCTGTGATTTTCAGAAAAAGTGAATCTTCTCTGTGTTTCTCTTAGTCAGTACGGAACACAATCCAGTTTGTGACTTAGAGATGATTTTTAAAAGGTTATACTGTACTGTAGTATGCCAGTTAGCTGTGGAATTATCTTAATGCAGCATTGAGGGAAAAGGGAAATCCTGAGTCCACAAGAGAAGCCACTGGCGGTCACCTTCCATTTCAGGCTGTGGAAGCAGACACTAAAATATTTCCTGTTCTGTCTCAAATGAATATGTTTCAGTGTTCAATTTCTAATCTTCCAGGATGCTTTGTGGTATGCAACTAACAGCTGTTGTGAGTAGCATTGTTTTTATGCTTACTGTTTTTGTTTCATGTCACACTTTTTTTTCTTTCCTCTCCTTTGCTGTTGGCTTCACTTCTGGCTCCATCAGAGAGAGCTGCAGGCCTTTGCTGCCGCTTAGTAGTCCCCTGTCATAAAGGAATGCCAAGGCTTACTGATCTGTCTGTCAAAACCAAAGATGTCTGGGAAATTCCACGAGAATCCCTACAGTTGATCAAGAGACTGGGAAATGGGCAGTTTGGGGAAGTATGGATGGGTATGGAGCAAAATAATTATTCTAAAATAGCTCTCTGTGTGGGGATTACAAGATGGAAGGTGAAAATGTAGGACACTGACCCACAAGAAAAAAAGAGCAAAGCTCGGACTGCTAGGAAAAACGTCTTTGGAATCGTATCTTTGACTCTGAAAGTCTTTAATCTTCAACTTTCCCTGTAATTGATGGCAAAAGCAAACTGAAATTCTGTGTTTCCTTGGAAGGTTTTGATTTTGACAAATTACCACTGTCTTAAATAAACCAAGGCTTGCACAGTAATCTGTTAATTATACCGAGGAGCCTTTTTCTGCAAGCTAACAAAAAAGTCCTTACCTTCAGTATCCAAACATCAGTGTTTGCAAATGGACTTCAATGCAGCACTGAGAGCCAAATCACCTTCCATCTTTTTCAACGCATGCGTAATTTTGGATTATAAGTGTGTTTTTTTTATTAATTTCCTCTCCTATAGAGAAAGCTGATGGTTTGTGTTTTAACTTAACTGTGATTGCTACGAATAATACCCCACAAACTGTTGGATTGGCTAAAGATGCATGGGAAGTTGCACGTGATTCATTATTTCTGGAACAGAAGCTTGGTCAGGGGTGTTTCGCTGAAGTGTGGCGTGGTAAGGCAGAGAATATATTTTGCTTTGGATGGATCTTTTAAGGCCCTCTTGGCAGAAATACGCATTTCAAGTAGAGATCTTAAAGCTAAAAGATCAGAATCGTATGAAATGTTCGTCTACATTGCCTAAAAGAGTCAGACCTAGATACAGTAATCCATGGGGACACTTCCTTTCACTTGCACACACTGGTATGAGAGGTTAGGGCATTAAACTTCATTAATTGCATTGGGTTTATTTGGGTGAATACACGATTTCTAGATATTAAAATAGGAATGATGCTAAACTTGTAAAGGAGAATGGCTAACCAGAAATTAATCTGGTAAGTAGACATTTTTCTTTCCCCGTGTGTTTTAGCACTGATGGTATCAGACCCTGAAAATGCTTCCATCCACTCTCCCAGTTTAAAAATAACGGCAAGTATCAGCAAGCTGATATTTCTCAAGCTAGCTTTCCCATGCATCCACTTCTTTAAGTCTATTTTGAAATTTTTATCTGCAGCAGAACCCCGTAACTCAATGCAGAGACCAGGGACAATAGAAGCAAGACTTGCCCAGCCCAACTGAACCCCCACTTTGAAGTCCAAAAATATTGACATTTTCCAAATGCACTGGCATTGTTTTCTGCACATTTGCCAGCTTTACTTACTGCCCCCCTCTATGGGCCTCATTCTTTTAATGACTATGAAACAATAGCGATTTAAAATGTACATAAATCTTAGTACGGTCGTATCATTGAAACACAATATAGTGGCCATTTAATGAGAAGTGGGCTCAGTTTTTGTGCCAAGTTGCATTCTGTGTAACCTCTTTAAAATGACCAGCTCAAATAAAGAATCACTGTATGTTGCTCCTCCAGAAAAAATTGGTGGAGCAGTTTGGCTGCTCTTTTTGTTTCAGTGACACAAAAGTATGTACAACCAAAATAACCAGCTGGCTCTCCTGGGTTCTTGCAGCTGTTTTCCGTTGCAAGACTACAGCAAGGAGCACGGCAGCAAGTCTGTGAAATTTATAGAATTTATAGACTAGAAATATAGAAATTTATAGAATTTCACAGAATTACAGCTGACCTGTTGCAAAGAAAGCTACCTATGTTTTCCATTAGCATCCCCAAATAACTGCAGTTTCACCTTCTTGTTCTCCATCTTGAATGCATGTGAGAGTTTCAAGTTGATGTTAATATTTAGTGGTCAGCTTTGTGTGCCATAGATCTTAAACTGATACAGGAAGCTAAGAGAGCGCAAATGCAATTTAGAAATAAATAAATAAATCCGCTGTGAGAAATAAAGTGCCAAGTACCAGTACCAAATGTCTGTGGAAAATGCAAGAATTACTGTTACAATTATGACATTATGTTTCTTCTAGTAATGTATAGTAAAAAAATGCTTCAACAGCCCTGAAGCACTACCGAATGGGAATGGATTAACACAGTAAAAATGAATAAAGAGTGCGTTAAGTAGTGGCTACCTCCGTCTGGGAGGAATTCAGAGGGAAGTCTGCTGGCTGCCAGGCGCCCCCCCAGACAGCCCCTGTGCTGCGGCGGGGGGCTGCCCCGTAAGAGGGGGGACGTGGGGGGCCCGGCCCGGCGGCAGAAGCTCGTGGGGAAGTTATTTCGGCTTAACCCCGGTCCCCGTGCAGCAGCTGACCCCCCGGCAACGGTTAGCGTGCTTTTAGCAAAGTCAGACCGGGCTTATGCGAGGCACGTTACCTTTTTTTGATGATGCCCGAATTTGTAGAAACGAGATCTGAGGCCCAAGTCTCTGTGTACTTCATAGGCCCTTCTACTATCCTCACGCGTAAGTGCAGAGAAGTAATTTTTACCCAACGTGGCTAATTCCTGAAGTCATTTAGTATTGCTCTGCCTTGCCACACAGCAGCTCCCTGTCAACAGATCGCAGGTCCCGTTCAAAGCCATTTCAGCCCTGGCCCTGGAGCAGGGTTCTGGCAAGTCTGGACAACCAGAAAGCACTAGGAAAGCGATATTTCTGTCCTTTTTCATTTTCCTTCCTTTCCCCTCCCCAGTCTCCCAAACCCCAAAAAACCTGTTAACATAGGTAGGTGTTTTGGGTTTTTTTTTTCTTTCCGGTCCTGCTTCTCCCCCTTGCAAACACCTGAGCGAAACCCCACGTCTGGTGGGGCACCCCGAGCCAGCCTCTCCGGCTCTCCCCAGGTCCTTGGGCAGGCTTTCAGGTGTTACGGGGGGCTCGGTGGGTGATGGCTGGAAAATGGTGCGACCTGTCCCTTTCAGGGCTGACCGCAAGTAAAGAACAAGACAAAGTGGACAGGAACAGCCTCACATTCGGTCAGCAGCTGCTAGGCTTCTGGGCATGAGGAGGGGAAGGAAAAAAGTCGCATTTCGGTCTGGAAACACGCCCGTGTTTCTAAAATGAAATAGATTCAGAATTTGTTTCTTGGGAACTTTTTTTTCAGAATATTTTTTTTCCTCTGACTCCGAACAAAGCCAAAATGTTAAAATGTCTTGCAAATGAAAAGTTCTGGGTTTAACCCGTTTTGTTATCCAAACCTCTGACTGGAGCTGTGTTGTTTTCTGTAGCACTGACTTGTTAGCAAGGAAAGACATGAAGACGGGTTTCAGCAGTCCCATGTTTCTTACTCAGAGAAGGTGTCTGTGAACATCAGTGAAAGCATTGTCTGAGCAGGACTATGGCAATTGGGCCCTAGTGCCAACGGGAGTATTATCTTTCAGTATAATAGAAAAAACCTAAAATATGAGGGAGGCGTGGGAGGAATATGATGATAAGGCAACATGGGGAAACCACACTTTAAAAAAAATTATTACATTAAGCGTCCTTGCTAGTTTATACCTTGGTTACATTAGTCATCAGGCAGAAAAAGGAGCAGAGGATGTTTTATCTAACTAAGTATCTGTGCTTGTAGGTACATGGAATGGAAATACTAAAGTGGCTATCAAGACCCTGAAGCCTGGCACTATGTCTCCAGAATCCTTCTTAGAGGAAGCTCAAATCATGAAGAAACTAAAACATGACAAATTGGTCCAACTTTATGCTGTGGTGTCTGAAGAACCTATCTATATTGTCACGGAGTACATGAGCAAAGGTGAAGCCAGAGCTGCTGCCCTTGATAACGATATTTTACCTTTACTGATGCTCCTTGGGGATACAGAGGGAGGTGCAGTGTGATGCATGAACAGCATGTGAGGAAGGAGAGAGGGAACGGGAAGCTAAATTCACCTCTGGCTTCAGAAGAATTATGAATTCAGCTCTGAACTGGGCCCAAAACCTGAAATCCACCAGATGTGCAAAGAAAATTCGCACTAGGTGGGGGAGGGAGGAGTTGGTGCAGCCTAAGTGGTTCCAACTGCATCAGCATCTGAACTTCCCTGACAAGTGGCGATCTGCATTCTCTAGGTTTGAATGAAATTATATGCTGGCTCCCAAGATCTTAACTTCTCCTGGCGCCAGAGAGTTCATGTGGCATCTTCCTTCAGTGTTTACTTGTCAGCCTTAAGATTTCTGTTTCTTCTCTTGGCAATCCTGATTTCTGTCACATGCACCTCTCTCTCAGATCACAGCTTAATTTTCAGCCCACCCCATTTATCATTTTAATGTGTGATTTGCAGATATGGTTCTTTCCCTCCTCTTTCCTCTTCCCGTTCCCCTTCTCCCTTCGATTTTTTTTTTTTTTTTTTTTTTTTTTTAAGCTACCTAACTGGTAACAATGTAGTAAAAGGAGAAAAGGAAAACTTTTCACTCTGTCAGATCTCCAGCAGGGGTGCTGAGAGCAGAGCAAAAAATCTGCTTGTTTTGGAAAAGCAAATGAACCAAATAAGAAACATAAGTTCTCACAGGGAAGTTTCATTGTACATTGGAGGATACACTCTGAAATTTTAAGTGCATTTTTTCAGTCTATTTGGAGTTGATTTTTATTTTCCTGGCAGGTGTCTGCCCACCTCCCCCCTCAGAGGCATCCAAGCCCTGACTAACTCACACTTTAATCATATGTCTCAGTGACAAGCATGTGCTTTTTCCCCTTTAAAAAAAAAAAAAAAAAAAAAAAAAAGACTTCTCAAAATCCTTCTGAAGTACGTGGTTTATTTTGGCTTACTTTACTAGTTTTTACTGTAACATTTTACATCTTTGGATCTGAGCTTGAGGCTGACAATTTATCAAGGGAGAAACGCCTAATCATCTGTCTTTTCCCCTTATTTATTAAACCAATTCAGTGACCTTATTTAAAGGAGACTGCCACACTTCTCTGAATACAAGATTGGGAAGGGAGCTTTAGGGTCCTAGGCTTTTTTTTAAAAGCTACAGGGAACTTCCTTGCTTTCCCTTGCACAGGGGAGCTATGTCCTTATTGCTTTTGCTAAAATTGCTTTTATTTGATCTCTGCTTTTTCTTCTCTAGTTTTGCATAGTGGTCTTCTAAAATTAATGGTTCATGCTACATGTAGTTATGGGCTGCCTAGAGAAGGAGCACTCCTAATTTCTGAGGAAAATTAGCCTTTGTTAATGCTAGTCCCTCTGGGCTTACCAGGCTCCAGGCTGACCTTTCTTTTGGAGCAGGTTGAGCTGGCATCTGACTTTTTCCATAGCTTGTGTGGCTTGGAACCGAGCTGATGCTTTGCAGCTAGCTGAGGCCTTTAGAGAGCAGCAGGTATGTAGTTTCAAAGAGCACTGGAAAAGTTAAGAAAGATCAGTTTTCTCAGCAATGGTCAGGGAAATTCAAAACAGTGTTGTTTCTTTTCCCTGCAACTCTGTTTGGACTACTAACGTATTCTTCTGCAAGCCAACCTTAAAGAAAAGTGAAACAAGTATAATAGGAAAATTCGAAGGAGAATTTTTTTTTGAAACTTGAACTCAGAACACTGCTGTCTTTAATATTGCACATATTGCTGCACCTCCATCCTGATGAATAGCCACTGTTTCCCTAACATCTCTCTGTTGTGTCACCTTCGCATTTGCAGGGAGCCTGCTAGATTTCTTAAAAGATGGAGAAGGAAGAGCTTTGAAGTTACCGAATTTGGTGGACATGGCAGCCCAGGTCTGTCTTCGGAGTACTGAGTGCTTAGGTGTATATGTTTTATAGCCTGTTTATGCCTGAGTTCATTTTAAAATGCTCCAATTGTGTTTCATGCTCCTCACAGGTGGCTGCAGGAATGGCATACATTGAGCGAATGAATTACATACACAGAGATTTACGGTCTGCAAACATTCTGGTGGGGAATGGCCTAATATGCAAGATTGCTGACTTCGGGTTGGCCAGACTGATTGAAGACAACGAATATACTGCCAGACAAGGTAGATACAGCCGCAGGCGTAGCACTGCGCATCATTCTTGTGACAGGGGAAGAGGGGCACCTGGCTTTAAAAATCTCTCTCTCGTATGCTTTGGGGTTGCTTTCAGTAAATCCTGAACTCATATAAACTCCTAAGCCCATAATTTCACTGCTGAAGTCATGTCCTCATTTGGTTGTCCTCCCTTTAAAAACTGATGAAAACGAAACAAAGATGATGAGTGAGAGCACCGGTGGGTGAAGTGATGATAACAAGATCCTCGTGGTGCCATAACAAAGAGGATACTTTACGTACCAGCCTTGAAAGCCTAAATGGAGTAATCCAGAAAAGCCTATATAAGCTATTTCTCTCATAGTGTGCCTTCTAGGATTTACTCGCTGCTTTCAACATTGCTGTGCTAGACTTATTTTATTTCAGACGGGTCAAAGGATTGTGTCTCTGTGCAATGGAGCTGTCGCTCTGGACACCGTGTCTTCCTTGAGAACTTAAACAGTTACTTTCATAGGAAATCCATTTTCCAGTGCCACACCGAGTGCTGGGCACAGCCGACCACCGATACACTATAAAAATGTATCAGAGAGTATTGTAGCTTTTTTAAAAAAGCGTGTGTGTGTGTGTATGTTCAGCCTGAGCCATGACACAGGCTCTTTGTACTTAGTCATTCTTTATAAGTCATGTTTAGTTGTCAGATGTTGGTCCAAGTTTGCAGAGCCGCAGTTTTGTTCTCTTTCTGTTGGCAGTACATTGGTAGTGCTTGCTCAATATGTGTCGGTAAATACCGCTTTGTCCATTTCAGTGCCAAAGCCAAGGAGTGTCCCATTAAACCCTGTTGTATGTCATCGGAAAGCAGAGGTTGGTTAAATACCTCGTAACCTGCATTTACCCCTTCCTGCTGTGAGTTTTTTCTCTTGACCAGAAGTCCCTGTTTCAGCATGGATTTTGCCATTAATTCTTGGGAAAGAGCTAACCTCTTCCTGCAACTTTCTCGTGTTGACAGAAGGAGCCAGAGCGTTTCCAGCATGCCTTCTCCTGGCCTGGGAGCAGCAGCTCTCACGCCGTTCGCACCCCTCGGCGCTGCTGGCAGCAGAACCCAGTCCCAGGGATGTGGGCCACAGCCCGTGTCCACCTGAAAAGTTGCCTTTTTCACATTTGGACGGCGAGGCTTGATTATTTTGGGGGGGGGGGGGGGGGGGGGGGGGCCCTGAACAACCCGTGGTAGGTGCTCCTGCAGAGAGTTAACCACTACTGATTTCAGCCTGAGGGTGGGAATCGCTCCTGGCTAGAAAAAAATAGCCTCGTGTCATTCTCTCCAGAGCACCAAGACTGTCTGCAGGCTACGGCAGACAGAAGGCTGCCTGCCTGCCCTTCCCCTGTGTAAAACGAGAAGAGTTTTCCTTGAACAAGGCAGCCAGATCCAGTCTGCAAAACGGCTTTGAAACAGTGTCCTGCATTATCTCTGTTTATGTCTGGTTTACTGCCATGTCTTTTGTTCCCTTTGGAAACCACCCAAAGTATAGTTTGACATGACTGATTATTTGGTTTAATAGACAAGTATGTGACCTCCTTCTGGCCAGATCTCTTCAGGCTCCCGATCCCTTGGAAATCCTCTGATGACCTGTTTGCTTCCTGGTTTAAGTCTCTCAGAATAGTTTTGCCCTCTTCACATGTTAGAAAGCCGTGAAAACCTGCCTGACTGATGTTGAGGAGAAGATCAGACTTTTTTAAGGCAACAAAAATTATTGGATTTTGGGTGGGAAAACTTTGAGCGAAGAAAAGTGTAACACTGGGACAGGTAGGGAGAGGGAACATAGCCATCGGTCCCTCCTGCCTTTCTTCCACAGCAGCAATCACTTGTATTGTGGAAGTGGCTGGAAAGAGAGACATAGTTTGGCTTTTATCCTGCATTGCTGATGGTCCAGAGATCTGAATTTTGTTTGCCTGGCTTCATCTCATGGGACAAGTATGAAGAAGTCACCCATCCTTCCCATACTCCCGGGCAATGACAATACTTCCTTCCCCTCACCTCAGGGTCAGGCTCGAGTCCTTTAGAGCTACAGAATTCCTTAACAGAGACACCCAAAGAGCTGTAATCACAGGCATCTTGTAGAAAGGTCTTCCTACTTCCACTAATATTTTTTTGACTCTCTCTTAAATGGTAGCTTGTTCTAGGGAGAGCTGCACTTTTGGCCAAGCAGCATGCTCTCAATTTATATTTCACTTCCAAGCCAGGTGGGCAGCCAGGGTGAGCCTAGGACCTTTAATTTACTGAGGAAGAACCATGGTTTCTGATGTGCCACTGGAATTTTTCTTCAAGTGGGATTCAGTCCTGGTTTGTTTAGTTAAACTGCAGTTTGAGCATTGCTTGGTGGAGACCACAGTATCAGGAGGAAATGGTTGCCTCTGCTTGTTTCCCATGACCTATTACTTCAGCCTCCAAGGGGATGCATCTGGGGACTGCTCTGTTTATCTAGCTGACTACTGCTTCAGTGGGAATTTTGACACAGGAGGAGAGCCTGGCCAGTGGAGGGGAGGGGAGTGCTCCAGACTGGCAGCTCCTGTGGGAGAAAGGAGATGTTTTGCCTTCCAAAATCTGAAGATTAAAGCCTCTGGTCACTCCTCAGCAGTCATCCTTCTCTTGGCGTAGTGTTAGTACAGAGCTCATTGTTGGCGTGGGGAAGAGGTGGTTTTCTCCAGCCTTGCTTGATCTCCTACTCCCTTCCCCCACTGTCACTTTTGTCTCCGATTAAATATTTTGAAAGGAAACAGATGGGGATGCTTTGAGCCCCAGCAGGCTAGAGTGCAGGATTCCTGAACCTGTGTGGGTATTACTGAGCCTGGTGGTAACGTTTTACTGACTGGTTTATTTTCTTTTTGGTTTGAACAAAGGAGGCCTGACTGTTCCTGATTTATGAGAGGTAAATAAAAAGCGGTTCGTTGTCTGCACTGCCATTTCTCAGCAATCGTCAGGAAGGAAGGAGATGGTCATGCCACTAATGATTTAAAGTGTGTGACTAGCAGCTATACACTGCCATTAAATAATACAAAAAAAGTCCTTGGCTTGTAATGAGCATTTGGCTCCTCTTGCTTTTAGAGGAAGTGAGTAATCAAAGGGGAAAAACATGCCTGTTAAAGTGACGCCCGTTTTAAAGACTACACTGGCGGGCTGCATCGCAGCCTGCAGCGCTGGGGCTTGCTTCTTTCTGCTCTTGCTGTTGCAACACCTTCCCTTTCCTGCCAGTGTCAGGCATTCAGCCTTGTTTCCTTCCATCCGTGATGACGCTTGTGTCAGTCCTGTAAGGCAAGACTGAAAAGTCCTGGTATTCTACAGAGCAGAGAGAAACTTCCCATCGCCTCCAGCACAAGATTTCCCATGCAGTCCTGCTCCCCTTACACTGATCTGGTTCACAGCTATGTGGAGTTTTGGCCAAGCACATGGCATTTTTGTGGAGAGTGCCGAGTGCTCCACAGAGTTGCTGGGGAAGAGTTGTTGCTATTCTAAGCAGTAGCAGCTGATACAAATTTAAAATTGCCTTAATAAAAAAAAAAAAAAAAAAAAAAAAAAAAAAGAGCAGAGTTATTTTCCAGGCTGTGTTTCTACTGCATACACTGGCAGCACTTGCAGCAGTGCTGCTCCAAGCACACATGAAACAATAAGGATCTTTCTGATGCCTTCCAGACAAGTCAGAGCTATTTTAGGAGCGCTAGTACGTGTTTGTAAACTCTCAGATCATTTTTGCCTCCTTAACACTTCAAAATACCTCCTTCCTGCCCTGCCTAAAAACGAGTGATGCTTCTTGTTTTGATTTCCTAGAAATGAGCAGGGAATTTTTGCCCCCTTCCAGGCTCTCCCCAGTCCTTTTGCAGAGCCCTGGCTCGCAGCTCACCAGCTAATCAGATCTCTCCTGTTCGCAGCTGACTCTAGTGTGGGCTGTAACGTCCAGGGCTTTGTTCTTGCTCTTGACCTGCCGTTCCCCGGGCCAGCCGTCAGCGGACGGGACGAAGGACTCTGGCTTCTCAACAGCCAGCCCCCGGGATCCCGGGGGGGGATCACTGATACGCTCCCACAGAGATGCCATCTGCTCTGCGAGAAGCAGCGTGGCCGGGTCAGGGGGAAGGGCAAGGGGAAGGGGGGCGTGCAGGCAGGGGGAGAGCGGGGTGTTTAGACACGCAGTTCCCCTCGCCCCCCACTTCCCCAGGAGGGCTCAGCCTGCGGAGCCTGCTTCTGATCACTGATGTTTTGCCAGGCTTGTAATTTCGTGTTGGTTCTCACAGCACAAAAAATGTAATTGTGCAGTCCCTCCCACACGGCACTCATCATCGCCTACCAGGGCTGACTCGTTTCCTGTTACATGCTTGCTTCAGCACTTCTTTTTTACCTTTTGCAGCATTCCCTTTCCAGTCCCAGGAGCCATTCAGCGCCGCATCACGTCCTCTGGTTGCTACCCCAAGCGTTCCCCTAGCTTTGGGGTCTTAGAGCTTGGGGTGCTGTGTTGGGTTTGGTTTTAAGATCCAAGAGGGAGCAGCTTTGTAGCATTTCCGGAAACAGGATCATTATCAAACTGGCGGTGGCTCTGGGGCATGAATTTCAGAGGATTCTGCTTCGTCAAGATTTAGATCTGAAAAAAACAAAGCTCTGAGGGATTTTCACTCGCCTCAGAAGAAACCGTGCTGAGAGTTGTACGTCAAGGTCACTCAATTATCCCGGCCCCCTCCACTCCTTCTCACCACGTGACCTCCTTATAGCCGACCAAGAATTAAAGCAGGGCCACAGATTGATTTTTCCCAAGGAAATCCTCCTGGGGGATAACCTGTGTGGATGCCTGGGCAGAGCTGGGCAGAGGTCCCAAGAACAGGGCTGAGCCTCACAAAAATCCACAGAGGTAGGAGGCAGGGCCGGCTGCCCTAACAGTAAATTGTTACAGCAGCTCGGGGTTGATGTGGTTGCAAGCAGCGCAGAAACCCAAAAAAGGCTTTCCCCAGGCTGAAATGTTTCAGAAAAGGGACAGAGATAAAAGCTGCAGATTAGTAGCTTGCTTTGGGGCAAAGACAGGCTATCCTGACCTAATGAACGAGGTATGCGGTTGGTTTGTACGCACGGAGTTACTGACCTGCTAGTTTGTAATAAAATGGGTTCCAGCAAAAAAAAAAAAAAAAAAAAAAAGATAAATCCCTCCCACTGATACAAAATCTGCCTTCAAAGTAGGAGATGGGCTGCCTTGTCAGCTGGAGTAATTTGGCTTATCAGATTTATTAACATGCTTGTCAGTAATATGCATTTTATCTGATGCTATGATGCTGTAATTTGTTTGCAGCACAAAGTCAGCTTGTTTAATAAGCTGGTGGGGCCTGGGCAGCGGGAGGGGGCGGATTTCGTAATCGGTGTGTTGAGAGAGAGTAAGCTCAGAGGCTGTGTGGGTCGGGAGCCGTGCCCAGCGCCCGGCCTGCGCGGACGCTCCGTACAGCAGCAGCAGTGGGGAGCCCCCGGAGCCGGGCTCGACGCGGCCGGGGGGTTTTGTGTTTGCACAGAAGCCCTCTGCCCATGTCTCCAGTGGCAGACATCAGCCAGGAGGCAGCCCCTCGGGGGGGGGGGATCCCTGTTACACCCACCCACCCACCCCCCGGCACCCATTCACCCAAGCTGTGTGTGATCCCTGCGTGACGGCAGTGCGCGCGTTGTACCTGCAGCTCGGCGAGCTGACAGCCTGCTCCAGCCTCCCTGGTCTCTGCCTCTCCCCTTGCTGATGGCTCTGCCAAGCTGGGTGGCAGGCTCTCTTGGACCACCGAGCCCCCAGCCTGCGTCGCTGGGCCAGAAAACCACGAGGCAGGGCTCTCCTGGTGACGACTCTGGCGACCTTGCCTTTCCCTCCTCCCCATCTACCACTTCAAACTAAAGTTGAAGAGATACCTCACAAAATGCAGAACATGTGATTTTTGTATTAATTATTTTAGCCAGAGAATCGCCCGCAGCAGGGGCAACATAGAAATGCAATGAGTAGCTATCCTGTCAGCAGAAAATCCACAGCACAGACCATTTGTGCTCATCACAGTCCAGTGGGGTGTGTACTGCTCTAGCTCTCAGGAAAAGGGATGTGCTGGGATTTTCCTCCCTCCTCACCTACTTACCTTGCTTCTCGTCTTCCCGTGGTCGCTCGACACACCACATACTCACCTCCCAGTGCCACACCAGCAGTAGAGGAGGAAGGCAAAAATACCAGGAGACTTGGCCACGAAGGAGTCTGAAGAGATTTCTTTCCTCCAAAGATGACTTCCAGGTGGTTGCCTACCTTTGGATCTGATTATGAAGCACAAGGGAATTAGACAAAGTTTAGCTCAGCTTCTGAGAAAAACACAACTGATTACAGGAAAAAAAAAAAAAATATATATATATATTGTTGAATAAAACGCGTGCAACACGTGAACGAGCAAACCCTCGTGCTTGGCTGTCTCACCCACCACCCGCCGACGTCCAAGCCTTCAGCTGCACGTACGAGAGGGCACAGGGACGTCAGCCCTCATATTCATGGCATGCCTGCATAAGCCCATCTAAAGCCGTGCACTGCAGGCCTAAGGAACCTGAGCACCAGGTATGCACAGCTTGCAGTTTTGCCAGGGCTCGGCAAGGGGTGCAAAGCCCCCGGATCTGCCGGTGGCTGGGGGAGCCGGTTGCCAACCCCGCGTGGCTGCTGGTGCTGCTGAGGCAGGGCCAGCTTCCAGAACAGAGGCTCAAGAGGTGGCTGCAGAGATCTCGGGCATCCCAGCCAAGGCAGCTTTTAAGGGAAGATGGAGTTCTCTACGTTTTGACTCTTGTAAACTAAGACTGATCCCGTGGAGAGGTGTAGGTTAGGGAGGTTGAGACCAAAGCCAAGCACCCAAAGTTTAACCCCTGCCTGCATACCAAGTAAGGAAAATACAGAAGAGACAGACTTTTTGGAAAGTGAATAGACATCCAAAAATCCTCCAGCACCTTTGCAAATCTAACCACTGACACGTTGATTCTTAACTAACTAAGTTCCTGTACTTCAGGCATTAGGGATTTGAAACCTTGCCTTGCGTCTTGTAATTTAGCAAGACTTACTCAAGCGACTGCAGATTTTCCCTAGAAAAATGCATTTATTTCTGAGTAATATTCTCTCTTAGGATCACTTACACGTAGAGCAGGAAAAATTTTAGCACACCTGATGTTTTACTAAGTAAGGAGATGAGAATTACCGTGTTTACTTTGTACTCTGAGTCAAGGCAGATTGCAGCATGTAGCGGAAGATACAGGGCATCGAGTACTGGATACCAAGGCAGAACAGTGCCAGCAGGGAACTGTAAACAGTGCCGTAACTTCACTCCCTGAGGGTGATTTGTCCACGTTGTTACACTTTCCACACTCCTCCTGAAAGCTAAGGGAACTTTTATGAGAGGGTGGTGAGAAGTCAAAGTCAGTCTGTTTCCAAATTCAAGAGTGTTTGTCACGAGGGATCAGCAATAAGCAATGCAACTCTTTTGCCTGTATGTTAATACAAGACACCAGGGAAATGTCTGCATATTTTTTTGTACATACTATGAGTTAATTATTACCACAAGACTTTTCTTTAAAGTCATACTGAAAATATTTTCCCTAAGAAAACAGTAAATGATTGGAAAAGCAAATAAATCTGTGTTTAAAGGCTTGTTATCTTACCATCCATACCACAACTGGCTCCTGCAAGCTCTGATGATGGATGAGCACATTAGAACAGCACGTATTTAAGGCACTACAGGCTTTTCAGTGCCAGGAGCTTAAAGTACACTGTCAAGTTATAAATCACAGGGCAGAGTTGTGCCTTGACATCATTGCACTCCAAGCAACTCGAAAGGCGGTATTATTTTTAAGTCCTTGCATGTTTCTAATGAAATATTAGGTTTGTTTTTAATTTACGTTTTTACCATGTTTGTTTTGCATTTTGCTCAGCTCGAGCAGGGAAACTGGGAGGTACATTTCCAATAAATCTCTACTTCTATTCGTACACGCTAACTGTGTTTGACTTGCAAATATCATAGGGAAACGTTAATTTAAAACACTTTGGGAGAAGGAATTTCTATTATATTGGGCTCACTGGTTTTGAAAACTTCTTTTTTTTCTTTTATAAAACTTCAAACCTGAATTAAAATGTCTTAGCCTTCTCTTGGGATGTGGGACAAACCCACCCCTTCCCTGCTAAGTCTTCCCTTCTGCCCGACACGTTCCACCCGCCTGTCCTCCCTGACCGTACCCCAGGGAACTGTTTGTTAACACTTGCCAGCAGCTCTGTCCACCTGCACGTGTGGCAGAAAACAGCAGTCACCCGCAAACTGGTACTTTGATTCTGTCTCTATTCTGATTAAGATTCATCTGCTCTTTCATTAGGTGCAAAGTTTCCCATTAAATGGACTGCACCAGAAGCGGCATTGTATGGAAGGTTCACAATAAAGTCAGATGTGTGGTCTTTCGGGATCCTACTGACAGAGCTGGTGACAAAAGGGAGAGTGCCATACCCAGGTAAGGAAACAGCCTAAGCCCTGCTTCACCTGGGGAAAGGAGCCGGAATGAGCCGTATGCTTAAATTGGAATGTTTATTTATTTTCATGGGGCTCAAAGGAGAATGGTTATCATGCCTAAGTTCTGTGTATGCTTGAAAACTCCATTTATTCTGTAAGTCTGGTTCTCTGCAAGGTTTGATGACTGTCTGAATGTATGGTATTACCCAATCTCTTATAAACTCTTAAAATTTCAATCCTTGCTTTCAAGATGAACGGAAAGGAAAGAAACTGATTGTGTAATGCACAGGCCGGAGCTCATGGTGGGGTCACAGTGGGGCCAGAATCTCTGCATGGGGGAACCGGAGGCCCCATGGCTCTTTGTTGGAACCCTGCCAAGTATCCAGTGGATTAAGATTTGTAGGAGGGGTGATTGGATCTGCCTATGCAGAAAGAGCTTTTCCTTCTGTCGCCCCCGCTGAAGACTGTAGGCATTCAGGTGAAGAGGAAAGGAGTGAGCTGAAAGCAGTGCATCACATGGAAAAGAACTTAATCCCTTCACTTTCAGATCAGCACAGATAGGAACAACGGGGCATCTAGCTGCATCTTTATTCTTTTCATATTAAAAAAATTCTCTATAATACTTACCAGTATGGCTGTGTGCACTGCAGCTGATTTAATGGAAAGTGCCCTAAAGGAGTTTCAATTTCCCAGTCCGTGCCACGGCCAAGCACTCAGATCCATACATTAAATAGAGCAGGAGAAGCGTCAAGGTGGAGTTCAGTTTGTCCTGTGGTACCTCATGCCACTTCAGAAAGCTGAACTCAGCAAAAGCTAAACTCCCAGAGCTTTACCAGGAATTTCAATTTTGCTAGTGTCTAGCAGCCAGTGGCTGATATTTGGGAAGAGAATATGGGGACTAGAAGGCTTCTTGTGAATTTTGGCACATTTAACAAGGAACAGCTTAGCAAAGCTGCGGTTGTGACAACAGAATGAGGTAGCAGAAAGTGAGATGACGTGTTTCTGTAGGATGGAGCAGTCCCTCTGCCCAGCACTTCCCCGTGTGGTTAAAGAAAAGGGGGTGTTGCCAGCACACGAAGTGGCTGTGTCAGCTGGCACAGAGGTCTTCTTGCCATGAGGATTACTGGCAGTGGTGTGGGAGAACTGTGATTTACACAACTGTATCGAGGGTTAAATGCAGACGTGGCACAGCACGCAAAGGTCGAAGGCAGGGGGAAGACGTGTAAGGCTTAGATGACACGGTGTTGCTCCCAGAGGGTGGGCAGCGCTCCTCGCAGGGCTGCAGGCAGAGGAAATTCCTAGTCACTACCAGTGGAGCGGGTAGCACAGGGGCTCTCGCCAGCCAGGGCAGAGTTAAGGTGAATTTTTTTTTTTTCCCTGAGCTCCACGTGGTAGGGGCAGAGATGCTTAGTGAGTAGACTTCTCTCCCATCACGTGCATGAGCACCGACACATGCACGCACACAGGAAAAATGCTATTCCTGGCAAAAGTGACCATCTAAGCCCCATGTTAGCTCGCAAGTTTGCAACTGAACACAGTGTTGGCCATGGCACCAGAGAACGTCTGCGCTTCCCAAGTGTTCCTTTCCCTTCCCCAAGGAGAAAGAGGCCACTGGGTGTGCATTTAAGTGTTTGCAATGCATAGCTTCTTGTAGGACCCGTGACAGAAATCTCAGGCATGGTCTGTGTCCTGAAAATGTGGACGGTTTTATTACCTGGGAGGTTGAGCACATCAGAGGCAGCCCGCGGCTCCTCTGCTCTTTCAGCGCTGTCCTCCCCCCGCCTCCCTCCCTGCCTAAAGCCCTCGCACACTGAAAGTCCTTCCGGCTCACTCTCCCCCACCCACGCTAGGAAGAGGCCGAGTAGCTGGAAACACCCTTTTGTGCATCACATATCCCAGAGTCAGCAGTTTGCCGGGTGGCCGTGTGCTGCCTTGGCATGCACTGCCCGAGCCCCACGCCAGGGCCCTTCCACCCACCGGGCCTCCCACACCTGGCAGTCAGAGGGTCTTAACCATTCTCGTGGTCGCCAGTCACTCCCCGCTCAGTCAGTTTTACCTAAGGGCGGCCTCTATTTTAAATGTTAATTTCCAAAATCTTTAAATTCAGTTTGAACTCATTCCCCACACCCTAACTGAGAAGCCTTTTATAGGCTGAGGCAACGATGGAGGGGAACTGGGGCCTTCTCAGGAGGGTCTGTCTTTGCATGTGGGTTGAAGGGAGGGCTTGGATTTCCCAAGGTGACAAAGACTTACTAAGCGCCTCGGGAAAGGCTCTGTTTTCCCCTGACATAGGAAGAATCATCCATCCCTGCTTCTTGCTGGGGAAAGGAAGGCCCTCCTGGAAGGATAAGGCTGCATGAATTCAGGTCCCTATCTGGGGCGGGGAGTAGGGTTCAGGTGCACCCACAGGGCTTCTCCTGCCATCACGGCATGGCTCGCGTGGGGAGGAAAGGAGGGGAGTTCAACGATGCTGAGAGGCAAGGCTCAGCTCCAGGGGACAGCCTGTAGGTGAGGGAATGCAGCCTGGAGGCACTGCCAGCCGCTTTGGCACCCAAGGCGTGGGTTTGCGAGCCCTGGGAAGGGTCAGCCTTGAGCCAGAGAGGGTCATGGAGCTGTGGCTCTGCAGTTTCCAAGACATTTGTGGGCCTGCTGTGCTGATGTCCCTGTTTACAGCTTGTAACGGGCTGGGGGAGCGGGGAGAGGCCCCCAGAGGGATTGCTCACTCGCTTAACTAGGCGTTAGTGCCTGGAGAGGTTATTTATAACATACACACCAGTCCTGTGGTGGTAACCATGCCTGCAGGGCACTCTACCTCATGCCTTGGAGAACCCAGCATTGCTTGGAGCTTGTGCAGAAGGAGGGAGAAGCACGAGGAGGAGGACAGAAGGAGAAGTCAGGCGGTATAGAGGAGAGGAACAGGCTGTGTGGAACAGGACTTGGCATTCGTTGTCCCCCCAGATTTCAACCAGTTCCTGACCTGATGCTTCATTTTGGGAGAGAGGCTGGAGCAGTGGCAGGACACGTGAGCAGTAAATATTTTCGTAGCAGAGATGAAGATGAAGCTAGACTTCACAAACAAGCTTTGCCCCAGACCCTGTAGCTTCCACAAGCAAAACTGACTTTTTGACAGGTGTCCTCATCTTCGTCTTTCAACCGAGCCTGTTTCTCTGTCAATTGATATAAAGGACTGCTGTGATAACTAATTTATTAGTGCTTTTTCTAGCCTTCCCTAATGCTTTCCCATTCTTTTCACAACGCAGCAGATTGAAATAAACAACTTTCACAGTCTTTCTGAGGTTCTATTTCCACTATTACAGTGGGGAAATAAAAGCTAGATATGGGCAGAAGAGGAGCCAAGTTTAAAAAACAGTTTGCTTATTCAACCTTTTCCAGTGTCTGTTTCTTTCCCCTTTTACAAATTCCCCTTGGATCTTAGTTTTGAGTTTGTTAATGGAGTTCAAGAGTAGAAGGCTGCATTTCTCTAGCAGTAGTCAGAGAACTGGGGTTTTGTTTGACGTGTTGCCTTTTGGATAGGCAAAAATCTCAGCTGCACTAAGCAGGCACCTCTTAACTTTTCCCCTCTGCTTTCTGCTGCACTTGTCACATCAAAAGCATTTACGTTTCACGTCTAGTGTGACAGCCACCGCGATAATATCCACCTTGCTGCCTCTGGCCAGGCAGGTCTTTGAGCTTGGGCTCCAAGCAGCTCTGCGGCCCCTGGGGGGGTGTGTTCATCCCCGGGGGAAGCTGGGCCACAAGTCCCGGCGGGTGCACGGGACACTGCCCAGGGCTGGGGCACATCGGTGAGCCGGCACGTGCCTGTGGACCGGCATCGTGGGTGGTGGATAAGGAGTTAAGAGAGATTCGTACTCAGCACGTGGCACAGATAAGCTCAGGTGTGTTTCTTTGTAAGCAGGAAAGCTCCTCTCACAAATGCTGTAGCTCAAAGTTGCATCTCTTATACCAAAGCAAATAATGACTTATTTAAAAAAAAAAAAAGAAAAAGAACAAACAAACAAAAAAACCCCCAACGGATATTGAAAGCCTAGCTTTGTGGGAGTTTTGAGGATGAGGAGTTGATGGGGGGTTTCAGGCCTTAATTTCTAAATGAGGTGGCATGACTTCCAGATTTTTAAAACTTGTTACTACTTTTGCACAGAAATAACTAGGTTCGTGTTGTACTCTGTAAGAACAGCGTTATGCTTCAAAGGTTGTCTTCCTTTAGGAGCAGCTTTTCTGTTCCCTTCAGTGCACTGTCATGCCTGTGTACAGAACAATCTCTCTGCCTAAGTCCCCTATCCCATTCCTGTGCCCTCCCCTCTGGCTTTTGTTTGGGGCTGTCCATGGAAGTTAGAAATTCTGCTTCTAGATCAAACGTGAACAAAACCCCCAACTCAACCTGTCTCCACTGTACCTCTCTCTTTTGAGAGCTCGCTCGGAGTGCCAGCATGACCCAGCCCCTCCGGAGGACTAGGCAGTTTTACCTTCTCAACTGTACTAGAGAAGGGCCAACATGTCCCCATCTGAGGAACCTCTGAAGATGAGCAGAGGCACAGCTCCGGGCTCTTGGAGAAGCTGAAAGACAGCATTTCTGGGGATGGACAGCAGCTGAGCTGTTATTTTAAGAGCCCTACTTTAAGCATTTTTTTTCTGTATTAGTTTGATCACTGGTCTGAAAGCATGCAGTGGGTCTTGAAGGAGCGTAATTCTCAGTCCAACAGGAGAAAGCAAGAATAAAGTGGCTTAAAACCATCGCTGCCCTCACTGAACTTCACGTTGCCCAGAGCAATCTGTACAGCTTCTTAGCTCTGGATGTGGGGATGCTGCCTCATTACCGTAACGTTTCCTCTCTCCTGGAGGAGCAGCGGTGCCCGGACCTGCGCTGTTTGCACATCTGCTGGGCTCCAGCTAATCAAGCTCTTCAGAGCACTCTAAAGCATTTTCCAGTGTTTTCTTTAGCCACAGCTGGAAACTCTACATCCTCTTTTATGGCACAGTAACTCTTACTACTGCAGGGTTTCTAGGAAGAGTCAAGCAGCATGGTGTTTCTGTCCCCAGTCCATATGGGCAGTCGATTTTTATTGTACTGAGCATTAGAATAGCCATATCCCGTGACAGCCTACGGTTACTGGAGGTTTCACTAACAAAGCTGGATGGTGGGAGGTTATTTCATTTTGGGGCTTTTCAGGGAAAAAAGCTAATGGAAAATCCATCTTTTGGAATTTGGATGTTTCCTTCTGTTTCCTTCTTGGTCCTGAATGGTAACTCTAGAAACATCATTAGCACAAACTGATTTTTCAAGCAGGTGAAATAGCTGCAGTCTACAGAAGAATATTGCTGACTATTTTATTCCACAGATTTAAGGATTTTAGGATAAACTTTTAAGGGGTCTAGAAGCGTACTGCAAGCAGATTTCATTTATTATTTACTAAAGGAGTTGAAACTCTCGGGTATTCATTAGGAGGGAAGAGTTGTGCAGACTGCTCAAGTATTCTCTCTGTGGTGTTGGAAGTGCAGATACAACAGGCTCTCACTATCAAAAGAAAAACATTAAAACTTGTAGGATAAGTGAATATAGACAATAGATTTGTAAACATAAATAGACCTTTTCAGATGTAAAAAAAGTGTACCTGAAACACTGCTATATTTATAAGTCTGACTAATAATCCAATCAATTTTGAAAAAAATGTATTTGAAACTCCTTTTTTAAATTAACAGCACACGTCAAAACCGACAAAATTTCTTTGGCAAATCCTAGGCGCTGCAGCCTTTGCTGTATGTATGAATTCCAGTAAGAAAGATGATGATTACTTGGTTTAGTTTCATATCTGGTTTTACTGGGAGAGAGGGGAAAGGATAAAGGAAACGAAGGGCATTTTCCTGGATTATACTGGGATGAGAAAACCTGGCTTGACTGACTTTCTAGGGACAAAAAACTGACTATGATTTCAGACTTCAATGTCTCTTTTATGTTCTTTTTTCTATCTGTTTTTTTTTTAAAGGAGGAAGTGAAAAGCTGTTTATGTTTTTCCTCCCCCCTCTCTCTCCTCAGGGTTTTTCTTCCAGCATACAGTTCATTATCAAGTTTCAGAGTGTGCTTTGCAGCACTCAGTAATGCACTGGGTAAAAATACCAAACATTTGATATCTTAGAATAACAAATCAGTTGGGAAGGAGCTTTTCTGCTGCTGTTGCTTCCCCTCATGTTGTACTTAAAGGGGTAGTGCCAAAATAAAAACAAAGGATGCAGTTTGTTTGTGGTTTAGGTGTATACTGTAGATGAGTTACTGGTAACACTTTCATAGCCTTTAACATGTAAGGGAAGCAGAGCGCAGCAGAAGTTCTTACCCCAAAACATAAGGTAGTTCAGCAGATTCAAAGACAAGGATATGAAAAAAGGGTGCAGATTTTTGTTCAAAATATTAATTAAAAAAAATAACATTGAGAGCACAACATGAGCAAAACGCCCATTTTTTTTCTTGTAGCATCTTGTAAACAGCAAGACCAGAAGACTTGGGTTGATGTTGCCTTTGGGTTAGTGATGACTAACAGACCACTAGTGTTGTTTTGTAATTTAATAAAAAAAGTAAAATATGCTTGAAAATGTTCTTGCTGGATGATGAGGAACACCCAAACATCGGTTTGGAGTCAATAATACAGGAGAACCTTAACTCTACGCAGAATCTGATGTCTGCAGAGGACCGCTATTACTCTGTTTTCGTCATCTGTGGAGTCCCAGTCCCAGTCCCCTTTAGGTGCCATACAAAGTGTTTGCTCCTACTCATAAACATCTAACACCAAAAATAGAGTGGGTGGATGCAGGTGACAAATCACACACAAGAAACCAGTGCTGAAGTGTTGGTCCGCACACTAGGAAATACTGTAAATCAGAAATCCAGCCTTTCTTTTTGCAGTTATCAGTGCTAAAGGGAGCGGTAAGGAGAGGTCTGTAGGAGGAGGAGGAGGAGGAGGAGCAAGTGGCAAGTCCATGCAAGAGGTGGTTACAATAACCGGCTGGGAAAATGATCCTTGCAGAGACACTGCAAATGGATATCAGCAGGAGGGAACTGCTCTGTCAAGATACGGGGAGAAGGTGTTTTGTAATCCTAACACGAGATGATCTAGATGTGGATGGTCAGGAAAGGCTGTATTTTGCAGATGCTTCTTTCAAAACGTTTTTAAGACTTAAACACAGCCAGGACATGGGGACACGGAGTAAAGACCAAATCCAAGGATACAGCTAAATTACCAGCCTAAATCCTGTGCAGTGGAGGAATACTACCCCCACTAGTCAAGGTTTAGAGTAGACAAATGAATCTCTATTGAAGAAGGTGGTTGAATTATTTCTCACAAATAGCTTACCAAAAATACGAGGCAGAGACAATCCCGTGGGTCCTGAAGTTGGGCCAAGAAAATTCTTCAGGAAGACACCCTGAAAGAACAGGGTGGAGGAGACCCAAGGAAGGATGGTGTCCTGGAAGCCAGGGGCAGGATAAAGTAACAGCAAGAGTAACATCAAGGTGCTGGTTTCTAGACTTGGTCATGGAGGAACTTAAGTGTCCCTACTAGTCCTCCTGCAGAGCTGCTTGGCAGGACTCACCAAGTCAGGGGAGTGAAGCCTGCGGGCATTTTTCAGCAGAGGCCTGGGGCAGGGCTTGCCAACGGGCAAGCCACAAAGCTTGCAGGCAGTGTGCACGCTTTCTCTGAGTTACTTCTGCACGCCTGTGGTGCCAGTCTTGCCTTTGGTCCTGTTAAAAAGCCAAAAGGAATTACTGGAAGAGATATTTAAACTAAAGTTGAGGCTGACCGCAATTAACGTATGGTGGAAAGCACTTCAGCAGAGGAATCAAGGGTTGAAGAGGTTGCACAGAAAAGACAAGGTAGCAAAGGGCCTGGCTTGCCTCTTAGAGACAAGCATGATGGTAATAACATTTTTTTGCCTTTTTTGAGAGAGAGCCGTGGTTCTGCATTGGAGCTGTTTTGCTTGGTGTTTGACTTGTCTTCTGAGCAACTCCTCTGGGTTGGGATGGAACAGTGGAATGTGGTGGAAACAACACTAACCAGCACAGGTTAAGGGAGTGCAGCTCAGCAGCCGCAGCGAGGTTCAGATCTGACGGTGAAGGGAATGCTGCTGGGCATCCCTGGTAGCCCAAAGCAGCAGGGTTTGACTTGAAGTCTCTGCAGCACGACCTCACAGAGCACTTCAAGGAAGACCCACTCTCAGACCACTCTCAGGTTTCAAAAATTCGTCTTAATTTTTAGAATTTTGAATAGTATTTGTTGCAATGCATTTATTTTCCTGAACCACTTCCCATAATATTTTTCACGGCTACTGTTGTTGGAGAAGGAAAGAGCCAAATCCTTCCCATTGGGAGTAAGCCAAGAGGGTAACCCTGGGGGCTGCATTTTATTCCTCACTGTATCCTCAGACCCTCTCTACTGAGAAAGAAAATAATCCGGGTTACCTTGCAGTAGGTGAAGAACTGAAACAGGACATTGGGGTGGTTTTGTTTCTCTTGTCTGAACCAAAACAAATTCGTATGATCGAGAAAACCGTATGTACTGTGGATACACTGATACTCGGGTTAATTTTCCTGTAATTTAAGTGTGGATTTGTCTGCCCTTTGCAGGCATGAATAACCGTGAAGTCTTGGAACAAGTAGAACGTGGTTATCGGATGCCATGTCCTCAGGACTGTCCCATCTCCTTGCACGAGCTTATGATCCACTGCTGGAAAAAAGACCCAGAGGAGCGTCCGACTTTCGAATACTTGCAGGGTTTCCTTGAAGACTACTTCACTGCAACAGAACCCCAGTACCAGCCCGGCGACAACCTGTAAACCCCTGGTCCCCAGACACTGTCATGAATTACCAGGCGTTTCTCAGCCCTGCCCCACCTGCCCTTCACCTTCCAACTCCGTGATCTCCAGCGTGCAGCATCTTCCAGCACCGCCGTGCGCAGGAGGGCTGAAGCTGAGAACTTCTGCAGCCCTTGCCTATGACCACTTGTCCTAATAATCTGAATGTCCTGGATGAAAAGGAGAAAAACACTTGGGTTTTTTTCTTAATCAAAGACTCCAAAACTGCATTGTATTGATGTTATGTAAACTGCAAAACCTCTGTTCATTGTAAATAGTAACTCAGTGCCAATAACTGATCCTAGTGCTTTCCTTTTTTTAAAACGCAAAACTTATGTGATTTTAACTAGTCTTCTCCTGATTCAACTAAAAGTATTATTTTCCAGAAGTGGCCTCTTTGTCTAAAACATTTTTTTTCATGTTTTAACTAATAAAAAAAAAAAAAAAATCAGGACAGGTGTTTGGTTTTTTGCTTTTTTTATATATAAAATATATATAATATATATACATACCTGTACATACAGTATATGGGTGCTATTGCAGGGGAAACTCATTTGGAAGTGGATGACTCCTGCTGCAGCAGTACCCAGAAAGCGATAATTTTACTGCAGACATGAAAACACTGGTGGGATTCTGAAAGCCAGTGATCTAATTTTTGGCTTTTGCCAAGCATGATTTTTTTAAATTGGATTGCACTTTTTGTTTATGATTATGTACCTGTAGATGGTTGTAACTTTGCTCTTTCAGGAATCATGTGCTGTATTTACAGTAATGTTTCCAATGTTTGACAAGTGTGTGATGATTTGTTCTTGAAATTAAAACGAACATATTTAAAGCAAGAAAACTACACCATCACCGTTTGAACTGGAAAATTGAAACTGCAAGGACTTCTTGGATCAAAACATGTATACTGAAATGTTTCAAAAAGATTTATTAAACAGTGTAACCACATTCAGATGGTCTTAAAATCATAGCATTTTAGCCATGTCCACCTGCTAAACTGTTGGTCATGCAACTAGGATTCTTCTGTTTTATGTGTAACATTTTTCCATTGTAAAATAAGTGTGTTAAATGTCCTGTACTGCTAATGAAATTACTTTCTTTATGTCTGCAAGTTCTCCAGTGGAATTACTATGCACTTCTTTACATTTCATGGGGGATGCACAGAACAAAGTATTACCTTTTCAGTTGTCTGTACCAGCCTTGAATTACTTACGTTTAACCAAAAAAAAAAAAAAAATTCCTTTCTATTTCTATTGAGTTTTTAATACTGAGTTGCAAATTTTAAAGTCTTAATTGCATTTTGTTATGGTTTATTTGCAAGTTTACATTTTAAAACTGTTTAACTTTCTTAATTTAGTAATTAAAAACAAAAAAAAAAAGAGCATTTTACATTCGGATAGTTGTTCTTTTGTTTAAACTGTGGAGATAATTGTGGAGATAAAAACTTTTCAAGAAGGGGTGTCGTGCCATTTGCGGCATCATATTTCATAGGAGTACGCAGACCAGTTGCCTATGGGACATCATTTTCCAAATTCTGAAGTCGATATGTTTTTTAAGCAGCTGGAGTTCAACTGTAAGGAAGATGGTTGAATGCATATCTAGTCTCTCATTTATCTGTTCTACAAACAGTTTTTTCTTTAACAGTTCTGTTGCATTTAACGTGAATACTTTTACATTTATCAGTGTTGCAGGAAAATATTTTCTATGCCTTGTATTTCTGTTATCGCTTTAAAGTATTGCAGCTGAGTAAGGCTTCTTATGGTTGAAACTTTTTTTTAAGTTATTTAATCCTCAGATTGTGAACTCATATTCCGAATAGTCACACATCTTCTAAAGAGAACCTTCTTCCGTTCCTGAAAACTAACCCAATAGTGAATTGAGATTCAGAGAGCAAATTGTCATCGTTTTAGTATTTTCTATACAAAGCACTGACTGAAAATCCTCTTGCAAAGGAGGCTTCCACACCCGGCCTTTCTTGGAGTGTGAATTTGTATGGCAGTGTTGCTTGTTAGCAGATTTCCATGGCAAGTCAGTCGGTTAACGTTTTACATGTCGAGTCTATACGTAATGCTATGTGTACACGGTATATTCGGCGTTGCTGTACCCGCAGCTGTGGAGTACTGAGGGGGCCCATCGACCTGGCTGGACTTGTGGCTTCCCCTTAGCACTTACGCAGCGAGCCGTGGTCCTCTTTTTTCCCCCCACAGCTACCCCCCCGCCTTAAGGCATCACGCAGCGTGCCGGGGACCCTGCAGTAGCCCAGCGGGCTGGCAAGGCCGCGGGCTCGGCCCGGTGCCGCCAGGTGCCCCACCAGCCATCGCTAGGCCACAGCCGCGGCCACGGCGCTTGCCATCTGTAGTGCAGGAGGAGCCGAAAACGTTCCTTTTGCCTGTGCTCCTCGCCGGAAGCAAGACTCGGATGGGGCACCGCTGGGGTGTTACGGCCTTGGTTTCTGACCCTTGGGTTTGCTGTTTCTTGTATCGCGTTCGGCCTGCGAGCGCCGTGCTGGTCTCTGCCGCACCTCTGCCTGCAGCCGGCTTTGTGTGCAGACTGCTGCCACCCGCGGGTGGCAAATCCGGACCGCTTCTCATCGGTAGCTCTTCTGCTTCTTTTTCTTAATGTTGGGAGTTTTGTTGTTTGGGTTTTTTTAATCTCTCAAATAAAAACATTAGCAAAAATTTAAACAAGGTTGTTAGCATCTTTGCTATAAATTAATAAAAGCTTTTTCTCCAGTACTGCGTGTATACCACAAATAGCTGTGTGGTGACTGTAAAAGTAGAATTATGAGATTAAGAATCTCCTGTGCTGTCCAGTAATTTTTTTTAATGTAAGGCTAAACGAATCCCATCCAGATAAAAACAACTGGCCACACGCTCCCCCCACCCGCCCACCCAGCTCCCGACTGGTCCGTGGTGCGGTGGCGAAGTTCCAGCGGAGGTGACCTACCAGCAGCTGAAAGGACTCCGAGGGGTGACCCAGGCATCTCCAGGCCAAGCTTAATCCAAAACCAGTCCCAGGAAAAATGACAAGCGGAAATGCCACGCTGCCACGCAAGCGACGGTTGGTAATTAATGCCTGTTAGCATTCCGCTGTGGGAAGGAAATGGTGTGAGACTTGGTGGGTCTTTGAAAAGGTCCAGAGCTCGTCAAAGGATCCAACGTGGTCGTCTTTAGCTCCTGCAAACAATGCTTGGCTCAGTTCTATGCGACGCGCTGGTTTTGATTTAATTACCGCAGGTAAATGCAAAATTAGAGAAGTGATTAACTGCTAAAATTACAGTAAGCACAAATGGATAATCTGTCTCCGGTGCGAGTGTTTCTGCTGAAGCCTCTAGACTGGAAAGGACTACCTGCGGCCGAGAAGGCAGATTGCTAAGCGTATTTGACCTTGCCACATAGCTTCAAGGTGAGTGGGAAGTTGCTCAAATTTATTTTAATAGGCACCATCCTTTTCTCAAATGCTGCAATAAAAAATGCAGTACACTAATGAATGCTACCACGTTGTACCCAAGGGGCTTAAGGGCCTCCCGTGGGGCTGAGCCCAAGCGTGCAAGAGCTATTAGGAGATAGACAGTAGCTCCTCTTCTAATGTGTAGACAATATTCATTCATCAAAGAAGTCTTTTCCTGTCTAATGGGAAATTACCACCAGTAGTGCAGACAAAAGGATATTTATTTTCTCCAATTGTGTCAGTTTGAGGGTCTGTCTGTCTTTCGGGAATAATTGAAGTCTGTTTGTAGCTCAGAAATCTCATTGTGTTCTGCAGCCTTGGTAAGCAGTGATTATAATTTCCTGTGACTCATACACAGGGAAATTTTATCGCTGAAGGGGCTCCTGTCAATTGGGGCAGCATTCCCTGCCATCTTAACTGAAGAAGGGGACACTTCAATTTTGGCTTTTCCCACACAGACCAAACCAGGACCCATGTTCTTTCAGCAGAAAAGGGAAAGAGGCCCCTTCCTAGGACGCCACTGGTGCAGGGTGTTAGTCTCTCAGTGCTTCTGAATTTGTCAGGAGAAATTCTGACAGCTAAAGCCGGGTTACTGAGGTTCATTTTGAATGTCAGAGGGGAAATGCTAGCTTCACTTAAGCCTGTGAGATATTTTCTGTTGATTTTTAATAAAGCCAGTGTTGTTATGTGTGTGCATATATATCTCAAAATGCAATTTGCACACAAAACCATCTATACCTACACAAGCATCTAACCATCTCCTTCTATTCCTCCATTGCAGCTGAATGCTTAACAAAAATGTAAGACCAGGACATGAGTAAATTAGAGAACAGAATGGTGTTAACAGCAACAGAGCTTCTCTCTTTTTTTTTTTTTCCTCTCTTTATCTGTGTTTTTTTCCTCCCCTGTCTCTCACTACATGATCAGTTATAATCCCTGTTCCCAGGCCAGGGGAGGGATGGTAGCAGCAAGCGCTGCTGTTCGCAGCCCAGTGATGCTGCGGGTCTCTCGCTACTGCAAAGAGCAAACTGTAGCTGATTTCAAAGTCGGGGGGGGGGGGGGGGGGGGGGGGGGGGGGGGGGACGGGGGGGACGGGACAGAGAAAACATTTCTCCCAAGGGCATGGCTGGAGTCTGGGGCCTGCGGCGTGAGCATGCAGGAGGGCTGGAAAGGGAGAGCAGTGCCCTAGGGAATACAGGTCATCAGCTGGCAGGCTGTGCACCCTGTCATGCAGAGGGAGATCCAAAGGTTGCGGTGCTTCGCCCTGCCCAGGGATTTAGGTGACCAGGTTAGAGCAGGCTGGTGAGCATGAACTGCAGCTTCCCTTACCAGCAGTAACTATCTTCTCTGTTACCGGGTGGGGGTAAATAGTGTACATCCAAGACAGGGGGAAAAGAAAAAAAAAAATCTCAGGACGGGTGTGCCTGTGACTGGAGGGCAAGTGTTGCATCTGACTGGGCAGGCCAGGTGGAAGTTTGATCTTTTGGCTCATTGTTTGGAACAACTCGGCGTTAAGACCTGTGAATAGCTAAAAGAGCAAAGAGCAACAAAATGAGATTATTCCCCCTTCCCCTACAGCTGAGGGCTCTGGTTTGCTTTTTTCTGTGGATCAGCATCCGTTGCTGAGCTCCCGCACCCGGAGTCTCGTGAAGTTTGCTCAGCCACTTGCTGTCACAGCTTCACACAAACCCCCTGAGCCCTGTAATGGCTGGGTTTTCACCTGGAAGAAGGAAAAAGGGCGCAGGGAAGCTTTCGGACCGTGTTGGAGCCTCACTTGCTGACCCTGGGGCCCGCCTGCCCAAAATCCCTGGGAGCGGCGAGGCAGAGGGGCCCCCGGGTTCCCCGCAGCCCCCCCGGCTGGCTGCGGGGCTGTGGGAACAGGCCCCCGGCCCGGGGACAGCGGGGAAGCGGGTGCTAGCTCCTGCTCTCCTGACAAAAGCAGAGATTCGGCAAAGAGCCGAATGGGGAACCGCTCTGCCTCCCAAAGGCAGGCGACAAGCTCCGTTGGATCACCCGAGAGCTCGAGTGCTCCCTCAAATTCCCGTGCCTCCCAAAAGCAGCACGGCCGCCAGCTGAGCTCTGTATACGACCTCATGTACATCCAGCGTATAAAACACACGCCACACACTGAACATTTGCATATGTTACACATCTTTTGTTCCGCTTGGGTGGCCTTCTCCTCCCCTTCCCCCTACCTCTCGGCCCGTTACTCGCCCACGCAGCTCCCCTCACGTCATTCTAGACGTGTCATTTCTGAAGGGCTACACATCCCAGTCCTGTGGAGAGTGGGGGCTCTGTTAATTGTCAAATGTTGAGGGGGTAATGATCAATGGATGACTAATTGGAAGCAAGAGGGTATAAAATAGGTATTACTTGGCTTCTGCTCTTAATTAAGAGGATGCATAATGCTGTGGGGAGAATCTTAACAAATGGCAGGAGGGTTTTTGTCGTTATGCAAGGTTTAATGAGAAGCACTGAACAAGCTAACAGCCAGGTACTGTTTTCTTTCCTTTCAGGTGTCTCTCCGGGGCGTGACAGAAAAATGCCAAAGCAAGAGCCTTAAAAAAAATTAAGTGGAAATATTTTTGTAGGCATGTGCCTAGCGATCTAAACAGCAAGAGATGGAAGAAAGCCCCAGCTTCCCTCACAATGCAAAAAGCAGCGAGGGGAAAGGCAAATGCAGAGGACCGGAGTGAGAGCGTGGAGCGCGTTACGCAGAGGCAGAGGGGATTAAATGCTGGTTGCAATGTCTCCAGGTTAATTCGCAGCACCAGTGTTAGAAATGGAGCAACGTGACAGTGCTTTATGTGAACAGTTAATCATTTGGAAGCAAAAACGTTTATGATTTAGTTCTCTGAATATATAGATGCAGTAGGAAATGCAAGAAGCAGCACTTGACATTGACATTATCTTCCTAATCGAAAAAGAAATAGTACAAGTCCTGAAAGACGAGGAACCACTTTCTGTAAACAAGCTTGCCAATGACAACACTCATCCTGCACTTGAATATTAATCTGCACTTTCTATGACGGGCCCAATATGACGCACCACGTTCTGCTTGTAAATAATGTACAGATGAGATACTAACTTTAAAGAGTTCAGAGTTTGATCCAGCTTTCAGTGAAGTCAGTCGGAAGACTTCAGAAATAGAAAACACAGCTTCAGAAAGCAATGAGGACGATCTCAATTTTGGAGACAGGGGAGGCTTTTGAAATGCTGAAATAAACTTGGGTATCTGTTATCTAAATTTCCTAATCCAGAAACAAGTTAATTGATAGCAGTTCCTACAACTCTGTGGGAGGGTACTTAGGTTTGGGCTGGACCTCATCTTTGCTTTGAAACCCACTCAGCAGACAGTGCTGTTAACACAGTCAGCAAAGAGTGTCTTTCAAGCTCTTTTTTTTTTTTCTTTTTTTTTTTTTTTTTTTCCTTTCTCAGGCTGCTAAGAAAGTACATAAAGCTCATGTAAAAGGGACTGCTCCAAATCCCTGCTGGTTTCTGTGGTTTGGCAAATTAAAGAGAGGACAGAGACTGGTCCTTTGGTCGTGGCTACAGACACCTTCACTTCCATAGGTGTGATTTCTGGACCTGGAAGTGCTCACACACGGGCCAGATTTCACAGCATATTCCCCAGGCATCACGTCCTTAGTGGCTGGGCTGCTCTGCGCTCCTTTCTTTGGGCCACAAATACCGCTTCCACTGAAGACACGTATGAGCAGTCAGGATGGAAATAACCCCAGGAGACTGAGTGCTGAGTGAGCTAGTATTAATTCCAAGGGGCATTTCTAGGTGGCCAGGCAAAATATATCTGGAGCTACTGGACAGGGTCCTGTGAAGTGCCACAAAGATGATGGACTGGAACATCTGACATTTGAGGAAAGGCTGAGAGGGTTGGGACTATTCAGCCTGGAGAAGAGAAGGCTTAGGAGGTACCTCATCAATGTATATAAATACATGAACGGAGAGTGCAAAGAGGATTGAGCCAGGCTTTTTTCAGTGGCAAGACCAGAGGCAGTGGGCACAGACTGAAACACAGGAGGTTCCCTCTGAACATCAAGAAACACCTTCTCACTGTGAGGGTGACCAGGAACTGGCACAGGTCGCCCGGGGAGGTTATGGAGTCTCCATCCTTGGAGATATTCAAAAGCTCTCTGTTCATGGTCCTGGGCATCTGTCCCTAGGCGGCCCTGCTTGAGCAGGAGGCTGGACC